TCTTGTGAGTTCTGCTAGAAATATTTTTCTCTCTAGGTGGTTTATTGCGATCCAGTGCTAATGAAAATCGTCTTCATCAGCCTACATTCTCTATAATACCTATGACTCTACGCTGGCCAGGTGCGGGTAAGATGGCCACTAACATCTGCATATGGACCTACGTTTTAAGGTCAAAGCTCCTTAGACCCGCTTCACCAGCATCCATATAAACTCGTGCTGCTGATATTCTTAGTACGGATTTCTATAGGTATATAGAGTCTGTGCGGAAATCCGTATCAATACAAAACTTTGACGTTTTACAGATTGCTGGGTTTCATTGCCAAATAAAAATCTTAATGTTAGTTCCGTTTTTCGCCACGCCCATTCTCTTTACGAACAGACTCTACTCACTTCATTAGCTCCGTATTGTCACCGGCGGGTGGACAACTTGGCGAGTGTTGGCCACTGGTTGTAAACGCGCAACTCCTGAGTAGACCGTGTGCTTCCCGCGAGTTGACAACGCATTTAATTTTCTTTTTCTTCGTCAAACGCGACAGCTATTATAGCTAAGTCACGGTATTTTAAATTAAACATTATGATAACACACGTTTATAAAAAAATAAACATTGTGATACCACACGTGTATTAAAAAAAATAAACACTGTGATAACACAGGTGTATTTCGCTGACAACTGTTGGCGGCGTTGACCCGTCAACCACCTGATGTTCGCTGGTTGACAACGAGGCGTTTACCCGTGACTCACCTGACGTTAGCTGGTTGATAACGCGGCGACGAGTCAGTGCCGGGTGTCTCTAGTGACCTGAACTTTAATGTGTCTTCTAAGCACAGGGGAGCTCACGATAGTTTCAGGTCACGCGTTGACATGACTACGCTGGCCAGGTGCGGGTAAGATGGCCACAAACATCTGCATATGGACCAACGATTTAAGGTCAAAGCTCCTAACACCCGCCCGGCACCCACCAGCACCCATATAAACTCGTGCTGTTGACATTCTTAGTATGGATTTCTATAGGTATGTACTCACTTCATTAGCTCCGTATTGTCACCGGCGGGTGGACAACTCGGTGTACCGGTTGATCGCACACTTGGCGTGTGTTGGCCACTGGTTGTAAACGAACTACTCCTGAATAGACCGTGCGGTTCCTGCGAGTTGACAACGCATTTAATTTTCTTTTTCTTCGTCAAACGCGACAGCTATAATAGCTAAGTCAGTGTTTGTTAAATTAAACATTATGTTATCACACGTTTAAAAAAAATAAACGTTATGATACCACAAGTGTATTAAAAAAAATAAACGATGGGTTGCACTCCGGGAGTGCCGGCAGAAGTGAAAACTTGAATATTAACGTTGTGCATTTTTGATATTTTGGAATGGTTAGGGAATAATTTTGCACGAATTGCTTTAATTATCAGTATAAAAGTACTTTCATGTATGTGGTAGAATACAATATTTATTAATTGTGCTATAGTACATAAACTTGACAATTTATATTACGTTTTTATTTATTTTTAAGCATTTAACTGCTAGATGTTTAAATCTAAAGAAAAGTTTACTAGAAAAAAATCCACGCGGACCAGGCAGCGGACGGGACTCGAACCCGCACCCTTCGCAATCCGGGCGAATGCACTGACCATTATGCTACCTATTTACATTAAAAAAATTATATTACATTAAAAAAGTTTATTTCTCATAAAAATCAACTTACATGTTTAAGCGCACTTAGCGACATCTATTTTAAAAAAAATGCATTTTCTTCGCAATAAAGCTGCCACGTGGACGTCCTAGATAGAGACTTATTATTATAATACGATAAAATAAAATATTACTATACTTCGTCCAATATATATAAAAGCCAAACAACCTTTCCAATTTTATTGTGTGTCATGATGCGATCAGCCCACGTGTAAACACGTAAGGTTGACGGTTAAAACCTGACGCGAGTTTCGCTGACAACTGTTGGCGGCGTTGATCCGTCAACCACCTGATGTTCGCTGGTTGACAACGCGGCGACGAGTAAGTGCCGGGTGTCTCTAGTGAGCTGAACTTTACTTCTAAGCACAGGGGAGCTCACCATAGTTTCAGGTCACGCGTTGACATGACTGGTCATTGCGCATTGCGAAAGTAGCTTAACTTCCACAATCGCACGTGAAACTACTTAAGTTGGCTAACAACGTACAAAATTAAAGTGGAATCTAGAATATTTTATACAATCAAACAAATTATATTTCTCGACCCTTAAAAATTCGGTTGAAACTTCAGCAACACGGATCTTTACAAGATTGAAGCTTGGTATAGATAGCAGATTTCCTCCTCGATCTGAAGCACCCGTCTGGGAGAGTAACCTCCACCTTACAGAAGAGCGCATTAAAATAGCATTTCATTTTGGGGTTGTAGTGCTTCTGTCGTTTAGTAAGGTTCTTGGGCTTCACGGAGTAGCGTATAGGGCCAAGATGAAGATAAGCTAAGCTAAGATAATAATTTATTGTCCAGAACTGTGTACAAATGGTTCTTAAAATATTTGGTAGTGCCAACAGTATGCCCATTTCGGGCGTACAATTACATTAAAATAATACTTAGTAATTAAATGTCAGCTACATAAAATAATAATAAATCTGTACTCATACAATCATAAATTAACCAGTTATGTCATAATTATACATAAATTGCAATTTTATTGTCAATCTTATGATCATTAAAATATTCTTCCAAACTATAAAAACATTTCGATAATAACCAGTGCCTAAGCTGTGTCTTGAATGGTTTACTTTCTAAAGCTTTAACGGAATTAGGTAAATGATTAAATACCTTGATTCCAGTTGTTATGGTACTTTTGTTACATATATAACTAGATGACTTATCAATGCTACATCATCTCGTTTTATCCTTAGTTTTAACATGCAGTTTGTTTTCCATGAATAAATAAATAATTAGTTAAAGTCCACCAGTTCTTTCCGAGCTTTTTCTGAGGTACCGTTTCCAAAACCTATAGATAATAGGGGTTTTTCTCCGCAGCTAAAAAATATGTCCATAACGAGTGGTAGGGAAAAAAAATTTTTGGACGATTCAAAAGAGTTGTACTATACATCCAATTTGAATAAAGATATATTGATTTCTGATTTCTATTATTGATTTATAATATTATAAAAATATTTGTTCCTTAGGTTTTCACGCACACCGCTCATTAAATAAAACAATTTTCACCGGTATCGATGCACTGACTTATTTATTATTTAATTTATTTAAACTTTATTGCCACAATTACAAAAATGGACAAAAGACTGATTTAACGCTAAAAGCATTCTCTGCCAGTCAACCTTTAGGCATAAAGAAATTCACGAATGCGGCTTTATTAAAAAAAGTGATTAACTATAAACATACACTAATAAAAGTAACTACATAAATATTTATTAAAAAAAAACCCTAAATATACATGCATAGAATACATTTAAATATATATACAATATTTATAATATATACTACTATAGCTATGTATATATCATCATCATCATCAGCCTCTTAATGTCCCCACTGCTGGGGCACAGGCCTTCCCTATGGATGGAATAGGGAGATTGGGCCATGTCCCACCACGCGGGCCCAGTGCGGATTGGCGGGTGCTAACGACTGCAGATGCAACCGGGACCAACGGCTTAACGTGCCTTCCGAAGCACGGAGGAACTCGAGATAGAAAATTGTGGTCACCCATCCAATGACCGACCACTGCGAAAGTTGCTTAACTACAACGATCGCAGCGGAACGCGCTAACCACCTGCGCCATCGAGCTCCTGTATATATATATATATATATATATATATATAGATATTGTTACCGATGACAACGAATAAATGATTTGATTGATTGATTGATTGATATATATATACTAGCTAACCCAGCGAACTTCGTACCGCCCTAAAAAAATAGGGGTTGTCCAGCGGACAAAATTGTGAATCTAAACCATTCTCAGATCCCCTTGAACACACACAAAAAATTTCGTCAAAATCGGTCCAGTCGTTTAAGAGAAGTTCAGTGACATACACACTCACAGAAGAATTATATATATAAAGATACAATCATAAGAAGAGCTGGCAGCTACCTTGGACAAAGAATTAGTCTAGCTATTCAAAGGGGGAACGCTGACAGTATCTTTGGAACCTTGCCTAAAGGGACTCCTTTTAATAAAGTATTTTAGTTATTACATATTTTAAGGTTTTTTAGTTTTAGTTATTACATTATATTTTTTTAAGGTTCTTAGTTTAAGGTTCATTGTTCCTGTATGTTTTAAGTTGAGAATACATAATCATTATTAACACAGTTTATAAAATATATCGATGATGAGACGTGAAGGGAACTTCTGAGTTAAGTTTAACGTTATTAGCTTTCTAGGAGAAGTTAATGAACTTTCTTCTTAAAAATGAACCTATTAGGTGACCTTCTAACAGAGTCAGGGAGGCTGTTCCAGAGTCGTGAAAATTGAAGGGCAAAGGATAAGGTCAACAATGATTTATTGACGTTTCGCATCCTTTTTAGGCTGCGTCGTCAGAATTATTAATAAACTAGCTGACCCAGCGAACTTCGTATCGCCCTAAAAAAATAGGGGTTGTCCAGCTGACAAAATTGTGAATCTAAACCATTCTCAGATCCCCTTGAACACACACAAAAAATTTCATCAAAATCGGTCCAGTCGTTTAAGAGAAGTTCAGTGACATACACACTCACAGAAGAATTATATATATAAAGATAAATCAGTGCATCTATACCGCTTGTTTTATTTATATTATTAAAAGTTAATAATATTAAAAATCAATAATATCAGTAACTGTAAAAGATACTGATTTTATTTACTGTTCATTTCAATTAATTTATTTAGTGATATGGGAATCACTGTGCCAATCAATAATTGGCAAAAATATAATATGTTAACAGTAAAAATCATTATTTCTGTATTATGACTGTCTTGTATGTTATGCTGTTGATGTACCTGTAATTAATTAATAAATTTAGTTTCAGGTGATAGAAACTCTTTCAAGATAGATGTAGCGTCAAATTTTTTTTATAATGGCGACACTTTTTACTTTAACTGTTCAACAAAAGGAGATTACATGCTTTCGATGTATTTCTGTGATTCATCAGGTAAGTACAAAAAGCTATTGCCATATTAAATTCGCTTGTTGACTGAAATTTTCTACCGACTGACTGAAATTATGTTTCTTGCATTAATTTAATATTTTTTTCAGACGTACACTATACTGTACCTGAAAACTTTCAGTATAACAATGGTTTGACAACTTCAAGTAACTCGTACAACATGAATTTCTCCAGCGACGAAGTGACTCTGTATTGTCAAAGGCTGAAGAAAAATTTGGTACGAAGAAGTAGCGGGATTATAAGTTTGAAGTTAACTAGACAGGAGATAACGGACGAAAAAGGTATGTAAAAAAATGACGGGTTGATGGGAATGCCGGCAGAAGCAAAAACTTGAATATTAACGTTGTGCATTTTTGATATTTCGGAATGGTTAGGGAATAATTTTGCCCGAATTGCTTTAATTATCAGTATAAAAGTACTATCATGTATGTGGTAGAATACAATATTTATTTATTGCGCTATCGTACACAAACATGACAATTTATATTACATTAAAAAAGTTAATCTCTGTGAAAAATCAACTTACATGAATCACGTTTAGGCGCACTTAGCGACATCTATTGTAAAGAAATCAACTTACATGAATCACATTTAAGCGCACCTAGCGAAATCTATTGTAAAAAAAATGCATTTTCTTCGCAATAAAGCTGCCACTTTCTACGTGGACGTCCTAGATAGAGACTTATTAATGTTTCGTCCAATATATTGAAAGTCAACAACCTTTCCAATCTTATTGTGTGTCATGATGCGATCAGCCCACGTGTTTAACCTGACGCGAGTTTAACATTGGTGTCAATTCTGGCATGATTCTCTAAATCTAAACTTAAATTTGACAACAGTGCATCCTTGCCATTCTCTATACAGAATGAAAAGGAGAGACTGATGTTAAATTTAGTTTTAAGTTTAGAGAATCACTCTAGAATCGACACCATTTTTTACCCATACAAAAAAAAAGTCTACAACGCCGCTAAAGAAGTTTTCACTATAAAAACCGGCCAAGTGTGAGGCGGACACCCGCACAAAGGTTCCGTGCCATAATCTGTACAAAATTAGACACTCAGATAAATGATTGGACTCGCTTCGCTCGGCTAGATACCGCGCTGTCAAAAAAACGGCTTCGTAAATTCGGCAATACATTATTGTAGTGTATATGTCAATTTGTAAGCATGTGTGTGAAGAATCGTTTAGCCAGCTGCTCAACTGCTACCCAAGTAATAGGAAAAATATTTTATGTTGTATCCTGTTGGATATAAATGTAGGTGGTTATTAATAATACGATACATGTTATAAATATAGCTCAAAAATACATAAATAAGACCATTTAAGGAAATGCGAATATATCAATATCTATGTGTTCGATTAGGCCTAGGTTTCTTTTCAAAAAATGGTATATTTATAACTCTGTAACTCAAAAATTTTTATCCGTGCGGTGACAGAGTAAGAATACTACTCACCGCCCCTTCTCTTCCCGTGGGTGTCGTAAGAAGCGACTTAGGGATATCGGAGCTTCCATCCGCTCTTCTGGTGGTAGGGTGCCTAACACCCGCCTGGTTTGTTACCACCATGCGCATGGTGAAAAACACGTGAAGTGCTTTTCGCGCGTTTTGGGGTCAGCCAGCGTAGAACAGTAACGTACCACCTGCATCTAGAGCACATATATTATATGTCAAGTATTCTCAATTTAAAGAAGTAAAGCTATTAAAACCCTTGGGCTTACTTCAAATTGTCAATACTTTACATCTTACCTCTGTTCAGTTTTTCCAATTCCAACTTGTTCTATTTTGCGATTACAGGTCCAAAATCAACCAATGAGAAAACGACTAACTCTTTAAAAGAAGGCATGTATTTTTTATAAGTAAAATCACTTTAATAGCGTTACTTAAAAGTTGAATCTTTTGTTCTGTGATTTAAATCAATAGTGTGGATTTGTAAAACTTTTTTTTGTCATGTCAACAGATCAAAAACCAATTAGCGACAACATGAATTCCATGTTCAATAAAACTTCAGATCAAGATTCTGGTGAGTGTATAAATATGCATCGCTTAGAGCTAACTCTAATAAACTTTATGAATCGACTTGATTTTTCACAGACTCGCAAACATTTTTTGGGGTTCTTTAGCTTTAGAAAAAAAGGGATCTCTCATAGCACCATATTAATGTCTGCCTGCCTGTTTACCCCGAAAACGGGTGGAGATATCGAGTTAAAATTTATACTGTCACAAACGCTCTTGAAACGTAACCGCGAAAGTGCTAGAGATCGAATTTGCCAGATCACCGCGGGTCGCATTATAGAGGTCGAGTAATACGGTTCATTCTAAAATGAGCCTTATACAGTGCGGCGTAAGGGAGAAAGTGCAACGACATCTGCATTTGTTTGCAAGTTATGCGCGTTACCTGCGTAGGTATAAGTAGGTTCTTGTACTTGTAGGTACTCGCGGGTGCTAGCTAATTCTCAATTTAACAGGTACTTTCTAGAATGCGTCGATCGGCGTATATAAGCGCGATTGGCGCCGCGCAGAGACAGTTGAGTTTCAACAAACTGCTACACAGTTTGGCAGATGTATACATAGTGTTTACATGTGTAATAATGAGAAAAATAAATTAAAAAAAAAATAATAAAAAACAGCGATTTCGGAGCGAATCCAAAGGCGATCAAAGTGCACCAAAAGTGTTCAAGTGCGATAATTAGGGACTTGTATAGTGAAATACAGTGATCAAACTTTTAAGTTGACGTAAAGTCAAAATACGGCCGTTTATGTTGCATACCTACAAATTTGTACGGAACCCTCGCGGCCTCGGTGGACGAGTCCCATTCTTTTCATTTTTGTACCTATAATAATAAAACTAGCTTCCGTCTGTTGTCGCCTTCGTCTATGTTTTCATTAGTTTTGAGAATCCTATAGGAAACTAACATGTTTCCGGGATAAAATAAAAAATAAGATAAAATTTGACGACCTCCGTGGCCGAGTGGTTTGTACGCCGGGTTTCATGGTGATGACGCCGACTCGAGAGGTCCCGGGTTCGAATCCTGGTGGAAGCAGATGTTTGTATGATGAATACGAGCATTTGTACTCCAGTCATGGATATTGAAAATGCATTTCTATATAGATATACTTATATATGTACTAGCTGACTCGGCTAACTTCGTACCGCCCAAAAGTAATAATTTGCCATAAATTAAAATTGCGACTATAATTTGAGATTTAAACTATCCTATCTCTCAAGTTGGATCGAACTGCACATGGTGTGCGAATTTTATTATAATCGGTTCAGTGGTTTAGGAGTCCATTGAGGACAAACATTGTGACACGAGATTTATATATATTAAGATTATATTCGTTACGCTAGTATCCCATACCACAAGCCTTACAGTGCTTACTTTGGGGCTAGGCTATATATAATATATATTGGTGTGAGTCTTGGAAATATTTATTTATTTATTTGTAAAAAGTATCCTACGGTTATATTTTTTATTTTTTTTATTTTAAGCATGTAACTGCTCTGTTTTAACCTAAAGAAAATATTACTTAGAAACAAAATCCACGCGGACTAGGTCGCAGACGGGACTCGAACATCGGTCTCCGAACTTGGTCATAAGCTACTTGCGTATTAAAGATTCCTGTGGTGTTCTCAAAAAACTAAAGTTCGAAATGCGAACGTCACGTGCAGCCGCTAGTTATAAAAATAAACTGAATCAGAAACGCTGTTGCGTTGTGATTGCAAGTTATAGCAACTACTACTTTAATATTTTAACACTGGCATCGCAATACATTTATGAAAATATAATATATGTAAGAAATAACTATGACGCATTTGCAAAAAAAAGTCAAACCCGTAACTTTAAAGCCCACCATTCACTACACGCACCGCGAGCCGAACCCCGAGCCGTACCCATCCGTGGACAAATCCGTCATTGCCCACACACTAAACGAGCGTCGAGTTGCAGTCCAGTCGCTTGTGTACTTTGGTGAGCCTCGCGCGTATCGTTCTTCCCTACCCTACCATGCCACCGGTGCTTTCCAAACGCACAAAAGTCGCTTAGTAGTCGGTGCAATACTATTAACGGAGAATAAAAAGAAAAAACGCGTTTGAACAAAGGAATGGCTGAAACAACGAACAAAATATACTCATTTAAAATTGCTGCAATGCATTCAGACCTGTAAACCACCTGTTCCTCTTTAGTTTTCTCTTTAAACAGCAGGATAAATTCTTGCCAAAACTCTTTATGATCGCCGAACGACATGTTATTATACTCGTTTACTCGTTCGTGATACAAACAACACAACTGCAGGCCAATTATGCTCGCTAATTGTGATATTGTTTTGATGTCAATTTCACATTACTCATTATGCTCTCCGAAAAATGCGATATCAAAATGACATCAACTTTAAAATGATATCAACTTAAATGCGTATTACGTTCAACTTTTTGACATAAAACAGTATCGCATAAACGTCAAAAATGTGATACAGACTTAACAAGTTAGGAGGTGGGTTTTCTGTATCAAATTCCTTTTTTTTTTAATAAAAAAGAGTAAAATGGCTCGTTTCGGGTTAGTAATGGACTATTTAGAACGAGCTCATGCCGAGGACATGCGTAGAGGAGATAAACCCCTTGTAGAAGAGATACAATTAGCTCTTTATGTTCGCTAATTGTGATATTGTTTTGATGTCAATTTCACATTACGTATTATGCTCTCCGAAAAATGCGATAACAAAATGACATCAAATTAAGCGTATTATGATCAACTCTTTAAAATGATATTAACTTGATATCAACTTAAATGAGTATTATGTTCAACTTTTTGACTTATAACAGTATCGCATAAACGTCAAAAAAGTGATACAGACGTGATACAGAATTAACGAGTTAAGAGGTCGTTTTGCGTGCATGCACTACAAATTACTGACAAGTTCACCGATAAATCTGTGCAAGCACTCACACGTACGGATTTGTACGGCGCGGCTGGGGTGCGGCGAGGCGCTCGCGTCTCTTGACGGCGAGCGCCGCGCCGAGCCGCGAGCCGCACTCACTAATACATTCACACGCGGATTTGTCCGCGGACTTGTCGCCAGCGACAAATCCGGCGGATGGGCGCGCCTGTGAATGGTAGCCTTAAAACACGAGATTTAAGAACAAGCTTGCCGTTCCATGTTTCAGACTCCAAAAATCAAGAGGTATGGGATGTAGTATTGCATTGTTTTACAAAGTTCCCCAAGATCTGATTGAGCTTCCACTAACCAAATTTAAATCTCAGATCAAGAATACTCTTATGAATAAGGGCTATTATAAAGTTAATGATTATTTAAATGATCGTAATGCATGGACATAGTGTTTCTTGTAATTTGTTATTTGATGGGTATTAGTCAGTTATTGTAACAGTAATATGGTACCTATTTAATGCCACTTCCTATTTTGAAAATTTATTGTAACTATATATCTATATCCTAAATGATGTAATGGAAGGTGATTACAGAAATATTTCTGAAGTCATTAATCAACTTGACGACTCTGTATATATCAATACAGGGATAAGAAAAGCAGCCCTTGCTGAGTTTCTTGCCGGTTCTTCTCAGTACAAGGTCTCCCGCCGTAGTTTTGCGAACCGATGGCGTAGACTGAATAAATGACTTTTCATTTCATTTCTGTAAATAAGTTTCCTAAATCGAGAGCATTGCACACAGATATTTCATTTGATCTGGTGTTTTTTTTTCAGATGTTTCGATCCGAGTAATAATAATTTATTCACTGGCAGGAGTTGGCATTTTGTTTATATTGATTCTATTGATTGTTATTATCAAGATCCTCACTTCCAAGAAAGTGAATTCTCGAAGGGTAAGTGATATTAATAGAAAGATGAGTCTTATGTTTAACTAAATACAGAAAAACTTCGGTAGAGTCTGTGCGGAAAGAGAATGGGAATTAGATTGGAGGGCGCTGTAGTGCTTTTCTACCGTATTTGTAAGGTTTTACCCCTTTTAGACATGACTAAATACAAAAAACCGCAAGATCACAACAACAAACAAATCCGTATCAATACAAAACTTTGACGTTTTACAGATTGCTGGGTTTGATTGCCAAATAAAAATCTTAATGTTAGTTCCATTTTTCGCCACGCCCATTCTCTTTCCGCACAGACTCTAGCACAAAATATCGGGTACTATATGGCAGCGCTGAGCTGAAAGGTCCAGTCATTGGTCATTGCACCAATGCTCGCTTGATGAATTCGCGTCAAAAACTTCGTAAAAAAGATCGTAGCGCACATAAATCAACTTGGAAAGGGATCGTTACTGCTTCAGCTCGAGCTGTTCAGTATTTTTTCTATAAAACCCCTTACTGCAATGCACACCAATCGGAACCGAAATGAAATCGTAATGTGGATCAATGCGTGGTCAACTCTCCGTACCCTAGCTACGTCTCTTCATAAGCTAGCATACGTCTCACCGTACCCTAGCTTACGTCTCTACGTACCCTAGCTACATCTCTTCGTAAGCTAGCATACGTCTCACCGTACCCTAGCTTACGTCTCTACGTACCCTAGCTACATCTCTTCGTAAGCTAGCATACGTCTCACCGTAGCTTAGCTTACGTCTCTCCGACCCTAGCTACGTCTCTTCATAAGCTAGCATACGTCTCACCGTACCCTAGCTTACGTCTCTCCGTACCCTAGCTACATCTCTTCGTAAGCTAGCATACGTCTCACCGTATCTTAGCTTACGTCTCTCCGACCCTAGCTACGTCTCTTCGTAAGCTAGCATACGTCTCACCGTATCCTAGCTTACGTCTCTCCGTACTCTAGCTACGTCTCTTCGTAAGCTAGCATACGTCTCACCGTATCCTAGCTTACGTCTCTCCGTACTCTAGCTACGTCTCTTCGTAAGCTAGCATACGTCTCGCCGTATTCTAGCTTACGTCTCATCATCCACGCACCTCCCGAGGCCTTCACGTTCGGCTTCAAACTGATTGACAGGACAAACAGGTGCCACCTAGCCGTCAACCAGTGATCGGCGACCCATAAGTGCGGATCGCCTAGCCGAAGCCGAGTCTACGTACCGGAGCTGCTTATCCGCTTATGTTACTATGTCAAGGCGCTGTTCCACGACCTGTGTTGTCGCGGGCGAGCCTGTGCTGGTTTTCCAAATATATGAGAACTTAAACGTTCGAGATTTACCAGTCTCTTTATGATATGATATGAGATTTGAACAATGTTCAATGTTTCGTCATTATACCGTGTGTTGCTAACATATCCAAATAACCAGATCTGTTTTTATGTTCGTACCTTACCATAATCGTTTTCCCACGGTATGATATTTATGTTTAAGTCCCCAGGCAAAACTATATTTTTGTATGTTCTTAGTGTTTCTAAATGTGCATTCAGTGAGTTTTTAAAACCCTCAGCATTAATATTTGATGGTGATCGCTAAGTTCACAGTATTATAGACATCATTTATTTTTAATTGGAGGCAAGATGCGTCTAGTATATTTATTTCATCGACACAGGTTGTAAGGGGCCGTTCAAGTATTACGTAAGCACTATAAGGGGGCAGGGGGATTTTTGCTTTGCTTATTTTTGATTTAATTTTTTTCTGGACCTCCCGAGATAGGTATATATCTTTGATATTGGACGTATTTCTATTTCCACCAATAGTAGTCGATTAGGTCTTCCTAAGTTTCTTATTTTTTTAGGTACATTTTTAATTTCATAGTCAGATTTTCTTTAATTAATCAGCAAACTTTCAATGTTATCTTCAAGTTTTGAAAAATATTCCCAATTTTCCTTGTATTTATATTCAATGCCCACGATCCTATTTCATAGTTCTATGTTTTGAGATGTCAGTAAAGCAATCGAGTTTTTGATGTTAGCATTTGTTTGTTCGATTCTTTGCAGGGTCGGGAAAATGTTTTTTAAGTTATTGCTGTTGCGTAGTGCAAAGTGAGTGAAATATTTCCTTTATTTTTGTCTTAAACACCACAAAGTTTATTTACCTCGTGTCCATGTATGGGGACTGCTAAATCTTGAACGTTAGAGTTCTCATACGTTTGGCAACATTGTGCGACGCGACTTCGTCAGTTCACAACACAGGTCGTGGGACAGCGCCTTTAAGTGGCCGCCTGTTTGACGGCAAGCCGAAGGCAAGTCAGTATCGATCCTTTTCCAGGTTGATGTGTACTATGATCTTTGCATTAATGTTTGTGCAGTAGCACCAGCAGTCGTTTCACGAATTTTCTTAAAAACCCTCAAACACAAAATTAATTTAAAACTTTCTACATATTTTCAAAACCATCAATGTTCTATGACATTTTTTTTCCAGCTATTGCTTATGTTATAATATCTTTAATGAACATTTTGAAATATTGACATTATTCCTAAAAATTAAACGGAATTGATTGTTCCAAGGATTTTCTAACTTCTAAGTTATTAAGCATGTGTTCTAACGTTAGTTATGCCTACAAGCAGCGTGTCCTTAGGCTGCAGCCGCACTAAGAAGACTGCAACGCGATGGCGATTTTTAAAAAAAGGTCAATAAACATATTTTGGTGGCCGCTCTGCAGACGTTTCTGCACGGTGTCGCTGCAATCTTAATTTTCCTACTAAGAGTAACTAATAGTGTTGATATTAGGCTGTTGGCTTATTTTTTGAAACAAACCCGTACACATCATCTCCTGTTTGTATAATCACAGATGCCAAATATCATTTGCTGTTCGGATAAGAACATTCCTTCGTAGATATATTCTCCTCCAAACAGAAATTTAGATCGGCAGACAAATAATTCTACTGTTATGTATTCCTGGAGTGAATTAAGTTGCCAAATCTAGAGTTAGAGCTTTAGTTGCCAAAGCAAGCTAAGGATCACTCACGCTTATATCAGTAGTTGGTATAAAATGCGAAACAACTTTGGTGATAGTTAAATATTTTATTTCATGTTAACTTTGTTCATTTAATATATCGTGGTTATAATTGTAGCGATGCATTTCCTCAGCAGAATCAAGAAGACGTTACGTACGAGAATCTACAGAACGAATCGGCATCTCCGATGCCGTTCCCGAGAGCGGCAAGGCTAGAAGAGATCTATTTAACACCTTCTGACTCCTCAGCAGAATCTCCATACGCTTATCCAACAAATGAAAGCGAAACATACGCACTGCCATACACCGCAAAAAACATTGAAGAACTTTATTCAAAGCCAGTTCCGAAATCGCAGCGAGACAAGCCTTCCAATCAGAAACAGCTCTACAGTGCCGTGCTACCGAAAAACATGAGGAATCGACCAGTCCACAAAACTGACGATGTTACGTATGCCCAAATTGAAATAAACACTAAAAAATCATTAAGCAAACCTGATCGGAACCCAAATTCTGACTATGCTACAATAATGGACGTGAACGTGGATTATGCCAATTTAAATATATCTGCAAATACAAATGTTGGTACTGACAATGAACAGAGCTACACGAACGTTTTTAACAAGGAATCGTACGTTAATAGCAAATCTAAGAAGGTAGACTCCGATTATGCTGAACCAAGTTACTGTGAAATAAACAAATTATAACTAACCGCCCTATTATAAAACGTGGACTGAAGTTAGACTTGGTTGAAGCAAAATAGTGTATGTGCCTTAGCTTTAGCAAAAAAGGTGAGACTATAATTTTAAGAATGGGCTTATAACATATATTTGTTAACAAACACAACACAACAAACAGTAGTTCATTTGTCTGTGATCTTGCTCAAAAAGTTTGCCGTTACCTTTACAAAATTATATCATCCTTCTGAATGTTTTATTGTTAGAAATAACGTAACTGTTTCCGAATCTTTTAAAGAGATTTTAAAGCATGGGTGCAGTAAAACAGTTTACGGTTCCGTTATACGGTGCGTAATTATGAAACTTCGAACAGTGTCTAATAATACATAGGCAATTAATTTATTAATAAGGACCACTAGATAAAGTTACATAAAAAATTTAAATTTGAACATTATAGCCAGGGCTATTAACCGGCTTCCAAAATACCGGTAAATAAAGGTTAATACCGGTTTTTAGTAAAGGTTTCGTTCGGAGCGCGTCCGAAATGAAAGCGGTACCTAAAACCTTAATAAACCGGTTTAATCCAGAGCGACACGTGCACGCGTCGGCATCGCTTGAAGTTTGTTTTGTTTGAACTAATCAAGTCACAACTTGTTAATGCTCAGAGATTGATGCATTTATTGACACGTTTGCTAGCGTCTAGTGAGTCAAGTTATTCATTTTTTAGTTGTGTACTGACACACTACTTCACTCATTCGCTCTGTAAATTAAAGTAAATTTGAATTGAAACGGCGAAGGCGATGCCGTCAGTAAGAGCGAAATGAAACCCTTTAAAAACCGCTAAATTGATTCAAAACCTATTTGATTTCGCTTTTTAGGAAAACCGGTTTTTTTAAGGTTAAGGTAGAGCCAAACCTAAATAAAACGCTCCTAATGTACTTGATACTGATTTAGGTTTGAAAATTAACCGGTAAACAAACCCTGATTATGGCACTGATAGATGAATTTGTGAACGTTTTATTAGTGACGCCTTTGAAACTGTACTTTCTATTTCTTAATAACTCAGAAAATTAAGGCCTAAATCGTAGAAAAGAGTCATGAAAGATATCACTCTCACTCAGTCTGTTGTAAGCTTCAGGCAAGCGGTAGCTCTGACAAGGACGTCATGTCCGTCTCTCCGTCCCCGGTTTTGCTTGGAGACTATTAGCACTGGAGAGCTGTAATTTTGTGGAGATATGTATATCAATCACGCCAACAAAATTGTAGAATAAAATTATGAAAAATATTTTTTTTAGGGTAGCTTCCCTACATGTAACCTGGGACTGATTTTTTTTCATCATATACCCCATCGTGTGGGATATTTTACAAGGTACTTTACTCAAGTGAATGTTGTGTGTGCTTGTAAAGGCTTGCATATATGTCTTAGAATAAGTATTATTTTATTTAATAATGTTTTTATATGTTAAGCTGTAAGTACACCCATTAAAGAAATAAATAAAAAAATATATTAGTTGAGGGATTTTTAAAAACTTTTGCATTTCTCATAATAAATCATAGAGGTTAGGAGGCTTGAGCAATAATATTATCTTTTATGTGGAATAAAGTTAAGAAGCTATTATTACACCCGAATCTTGAATAGTATTTACCTCATGTAATACAGTATCATTTATTTTGTAATGTGACTTAAAATTGTTAGACTCACGTGATAATTTTACATGGTAATAAATAATTTATAATTTATTAAAATAATTTATTAATATTGAGAAAAAAACATTTTATTTCGCACAATTCCATTGAGCTATCTATGTCCGATTGTAGGAGTTTAGCGTCTTCATCACAGCGAATAACTTTTATTAGTTTTAAATCATCTGCATACAGAAAAACATAATTATATCTACAACGTCATTAATGAGAACATTTGTAACGTACCTCAGGGACGATCCTTCCTTTTGACAATCACAGGTCCCATTTCACACATTTGGTCATCCACAATCATATTTATAAACACCTTTTATTATTCATTCCTGGAAATGCATAATTTCAAAAATATCACACAATTTTATCATTTTGTAAACAAAGATTTAAATCCTTTGTAAATACATATAAAATTCCATTTATTAAAATCACTATTCTTGAGTGCTATACTTACCTGCATTTCGCTATATTCATCTATTTATTTATAATACAAATCGCTACTTCGCCTTTATTTTACTCTGATTTTAATTATTTTTAGTCGTAATTTTGTTTATTTATTTTCCTGACACAATTGACATCTTAATGTTTTTCACCGTTGCCATGGATACCCATGACACGGATACTCTTTCCAACTGGCTCTATGCCTATGTAACCTCCACAGAATACCTACTTTAATTCTTTTTAGTTCAATTCGAACCTTGTCTAAAGGAGATTGCTCAAATTGGGTCAAATGTATAAAAAATATTGACATACACGGTAATTCTTGGCGTAATTTATACTTTATTTTACAGTCATTAGATTTTAACGGACACCTTTGTATAATATATTCATTTTAAAAAGGACTTTTAATTTTACCGGTTTGGATAACATAAGAATCATTTTTAATGGCTATGGGTGTAGTAACATTCAGCCAAAGACAGATCGAAGTAGATTATACATATAACATCAAAACAAATTTAAGGTCGAGCTAGTCTGATCCTTCAACCATTTCTTCGGCAAAAGTTGCCAAACAAACTTTTGTCAGCTCGCTACCGAGCTCTTAATTTCTAAAAAGCAAAGCCTTACGGCACCCTTTGGCTTTATAAAAACGTCTGACTATACTCCACTAAAACACTATACGTTCATCCTTATCGGCGGACCCCTACTGCCGGACTCCACCCACATCGCCCAACCTCCAGCGGCTTCAGCCCGCCTACCAGCTGTGCCTGCCGTTCCACCAGCAGTGTCGGTCGTCCTACCATTTCGCCGGCCAACCTACCAGTGGCGCCCGCCAGCCACCAGCAGGGCAGGCCAAGAATCAAGAGACGCCTGACCAGGGGCGCTTCCGCCTTCCAGGAGCGCTGTCCATCTGCCAGCAGCACGGCCTCCCGCTTCAGCCTCTGCAGAAGATAGTCGTCGACCCACACCCCCACACTTCACATTCATACCATATCCCTATTTTTTTACATAATTTCTTTTTTTGTAAATACTTTGTTCTTGTAAATATATATATTCTATATAACCTTTTCCTGTATTTCTATTCTGCTTACTCCTCACCTATTTATTTTGTCGTTACCCGACACATTGAAGAGCAATATTCTTACATGGGATCTCTGAGGTATACCTAGGATTTCGACTCGAGAATTCTCGAACTCGAGAAGCCTTGAAAAATCTGCTTTGGTTCGAGACGAGAAAAAAATCTCGTGCCTCGAGAATTCTCGACGTACTAATTCAAAGTATTCGAGGTAGGTTTTTCCGCGTAAAATTGTCCGTACTCACTGCGACCTTACAAATTACTTACTACAAATCGAGTAGAGACACAAGAAGTAATTTCTTACAAATTCGTCATCATCATCAGCCGGTGGACGTCCACTGCTGGACATAATGTCTCTCAAGGAATTTCCGTATGCAACGATCCTGCGCTCTTCGCATCCAGTGGGCCCCCCGACTCGCTAGATGTTGTCAGTCTATCTCGTGAAGGGTCTACCGACATTGCGCTTCCGGGTGCGACATCGCCAATGTGCCACCTTGGGACCCCAACGTTCATCGGTTCGCAGAACTATGCGCCTCGCCCATTGCCACTTCAGCTTGGCCATCTGTTGAGCCATGTCGGTTGTTCTAGTTCTACTATTTTTCATGAGGCCCATAGTCAACAAACATGTCTCATCTGCGAATGTTATCACTGGTAACATGCATTGTTTAAAGACCTCAGTCTTCAGGCACTCCCAATCGCTGCCCAGCCGAGTTGGATTCGGCGGTTTGACTGATTCTCGAAATTGGACTTACTCAACTGGACTATTTATCCCAGATGTTAAGGAAATTTCGATATAAGCTATCGAAAGGAGACAAAAAATAAGTAGTGCTCAATCCAGTACTGACATATATTATGTGCAAAAAAATAAAAGAATATTATTTGAGATTAATAAGAAAAGATTACTTCTAACATTTAAAAAAAAAGATTATAAAACAATAAATATGTACAAAAGAGAATATTTATAATAGGGTATTTTCGAGTAGATAATTCTCAACGATTAACGAGTGAAACGGAACACGGGCGCTAGACGTAATTTTTGGCTTACTCATATTTATTTAAAGACCCACTTGCTGAGAGGCTTTGCGGAGGTCGTTGAGCATTGTATTGATATCCTTCCAAGTGTTAAGGGGGTAAGGCGGGTAAGGGGGCTAAACATACCATATCATCGCACTAACTGCCAACCTCACCTGCTCGTGATACCCACCTGCTAAACGACACCGATGCGATCAGTCTGGCTGTGTGAGGAATGGTCAATCCGCATGCCCATAGTGTCCATTAATTGGGCATAAACCGTCAATGAGAAAGACATATAAGAAAGCCCCCCCCCCCCCCCCGTTGATCCTGCTATTTCTGGCATAGGCAGTGTTCAAGGTAATGGCGGGGCAGGAGGTGCTTAGAATCTCCGGAAGAGATACCGCTGGCAATCCCGACGATTTCACTTGGCAACATATAACGCACGCACTTTAAGGACCGACGAGAAGATCATAAAAGCTGGAAAAGGCAGTGAGTAAATTGCGCTGGGATATTTTAGGATTATCTGAAGACCGTATAGAGGGAGAGGGCTCGATAATCCTTCGGTCCGGCAACCTTACTCTACTAGCGGGAGGCGAGCAACAGTCCCAAGGTGGTATTGGCTTCATCGTCAACAAGTCCCTCGTCAACAACATTGTCGAACTCGGGAGCGTGTCGAACAGGGTAGCGTTCCTGATACTCAAAATTACCGAACGGTATTTGTTAAAGGTCATACAGACGCTGACCTCAGCACATCCTGACGAGGTGACGACTATGTCTGAAAATATAACTAAAGTCATTCATACCTCGGCCTCTTAATATGGTGTTGCGACGGGGGATTTTAACGCTAAGCTGGGCGAGCGAGACGGTTTCGTGTTTAGTGTGGGTAAATTCAGGTATGGACAACGAAACCATAGGGGTCAAATACTCTCTTTATAACTCCTTCTTGAAGAAGCCACCCAATAGGTGGTGGACGTGGGTAAGCCCTGATGGTGACGGATTGTAGATTGGGATTCACTTCACCAAAACGACACATATTCTGAATGATCAACAAGGTGAAAACTGGCAGTGATCTCCGGATTGAATATCATTGTTATGTTAAAAAGATCTGGATTGTGAAAGACATTTTCCAACTCGAACTACAGAATCGTTTCGCTATTTTAGGAGATTTCGTATCTGGACGATTTAAACAACAGGGTGGTGGAAACTGTCCTGGAAGTGGGGTTCAAATTCTGTAAGACCCACAGAACTAAAGGACACAAAAGGTTCTCCGACTACACTCTCGGTCTCATGAAAGAGAGGCAAAATATGAGACTACAGCCTTCAGCGGATGCAGCAGCCTACCGGTAAATTAATAAGTAGATCTCCAAGTCACAGAGTCACGTGACCTTAGGTTCTTTAATAATTAAAGAACCTAAGATTAAAGATACCTTAATAGATATGGTAGATAGATAAAAAAAAACAAATGCATGAAAGTGTTTGCGAGAGATCTATCTATCGGACGGCGCCAACTGACGCGGCTGAAGACCGAAAACGACAGTCCAATCTCCTCGAAATCACAGGTTTTGAGGAAGGTCGAGATTTTAATGGATAGTTGTACCTCAACAAAAAACCTATTGATGTTTTGGCCAAAGACCCCAGAGCCAAATTAACTCGCCATTATCCGAAGATATCCCGGACGTAAGCCTATACGTGATTAGTAACGCTCTTAAACAACTAAAGGACAACAAAGCGCCAGGGAATGATGGAATCACAGTAGAACTTCTGAAAGCAGGCGGAAAACCAGGACGTAAAATCTATCTAGCGATTGTTCAATTCCGTCAGTCACTAAGGTATAACGTCAGAGACATGGCACAGGAGCATGGTAGTACTTTTCTTCAAAAAAGGTGACAACACCTTTTTGAAGAGTTACAGACCCATTGCTGCTGAGCCATGTCTACAAGTTGTTTTCAAGCGTCATTACGAATCGTCTCACTAAAAGGTTAGAAGTCTTTCAGCCTCCCGAACAAGCCGGATCTCGGAAAAGCTTTAACACCATAGACCACATCCACACGCTACGTCAGGTTATATTAAAGACCGAAGAATATAATCTGCTATTGTGCTTAGCGTTTGTGGACTATGAGAGAGTCTTTTATTCGGTGGAGACATGGGCTATGTTGAGATCCATACGTACGTACGTATGTTGAGTGCTGAAGGGTTTAAACCAAATCGTGACCAAGGCAGTCCGTATCCAAGCCCAACGAGGAGTGCGACAGGAAGATGTGATCTCCCCAAAACTGTTTACCGCTGCGCTCGAAGACATCTTTAAGCTTCTGGATTCAACGTCGATTTGCCGTAGATATAGCCATTATGGCAGACACTTAAAAATTTTATATTAAAATAAGTAGAGCCTAATCATTATCTTCAGAAAATTTTACTTGATATTTCAAAAAACAACGCTTACTACATGTAGCAAAATATTACATATAAACTCCGATGGATCGGATACACTGAACCTCGACACAAATGTCAACACTAGCGTCGATTGCGTCCATACGGTAAACAATTTGTAGTTCTAGTCCCGATTCAAGTTTATTGGCTCGATGTATATAAACACTGAGTGTCTCGTGTCTGGTGTCATCGTGTACACTTACCATTAGGGTTGATATAGTGGTACTCTGGGTATCTGTTTCTATCAGTTATTATGATGAACACTATTATTGTGCCAGTAATTAAAAATAAAACAGGTGATGCTTCCACCATGAGTAATTATAGATCCATCTCCTTGGCTACTATAAAAGTTAAGGTGCTAAACAGTTTGCTTGAAGCACATTTGAATTAACACCTGAACTTGCATGATGCCCAATTTGGTGTCAGACCAGGGCGACGAGGCTGTCAACCATAATGTAGTGGTTATTTTTTTCGTGATTCCGCACAGTTAATTTGGTATCTTGGCGTGTTTATAATCAAAGCCCTCATAGTACATCACAACTCAATATTAATTTGTCATCCTTGAAAGACGGAAAAGTGCTATTGTTTTAATATTGTCATAAGCATTGTAAAAAGCACACTTATATTGAATTATCAAACAAGGATAATTATAACAATGATCATATAAATATTTATGGATTATTAGTAATAATATCGAGGTATATTATTATTATTTTATTTTACTGCAATATCTAATGGACATTTTCCTCTTTTGAGTGGGGTGACCATAAAAAACACAGGATAACGATATATTTAATTCATTTATTCATTCGCATTCGGTTGTGGTCATATGTGTGCTAATTTTTTCCGGTAGAGGCAGTGTTTCAATTAAATTAACTAAACTCTATTCCACTTTGACTGAGTCAAAAGGTAAACAAACCATTAAAAGGGCTTTCAATAGGTCGGGTGTTATACGCATATATATTTAACTCACACCAATTAGCCTAGCCCCAAAGTAATAGTCCGGAAGGTAGCGTTGCATTTTTGGCAGTGATTTTACGCCGACTGTTTGCCTTCCTTTACTATTTATCGCGAACTACTTATAACTGAACCAAGCGTCAGCTGGCGCACCCGCGGTGGGTGTGGAATTGGGAGGTTGCGGAAGTGGTAAAAAAAAATAAAAAATTAAGTAATAGTACGCCAGCTCAAACTTTTTTCACGAATAGTTGACATCATACTGAGCTGAAAAAAAATCGTCAGCTGCATCGTGAAGGGGGGATTATGCGTCAGCTGGCCGCATGAATTTGTAAAAAAAAAACGTAAAATAAAGTTATAATACGTCGGATGAAATTGAACTACGTGATTCTTTAAATAATCATAAGTACAAAAATAACAATCAGCTGCGTATATAGCGGTGGAAAGACAGTCAGCTGACGCAGTAAAGGTAAAGATTATTCTAGTAATGGACAGAATCTTACTCGATATATTTTCGTTTCGTTTTATTTGTATTTGTTTTGTATGGAATAAAAAGATCGCGAAAGTTATTCATCGTCGACATATATATATATATATATATATTTCATTCTGTATAGAGAATGACAAGGATAAACTGTTGTTATATGATAACTAGTTGACACTTTTTGGAATTATGTTTTAAATTGGTAATAATTGTTCTATTACAACGAAAAAAAAATATATTTTTACCTAGAAGACATACAAAAACGCTATTTAGTCTATAGACTTATCTATGCTATGACGTCAAAACATTTGTAAACAAACACTCGCAAGCACGTAGGAAATAAACTTTCTAAGTTAATATTATAAAACCATGATTTCTAATAGATCACATGAAAAATATAGTAGTTATCATGATACACTTGGTAAAAGACTCCAGAAAAGTTGTGGTTTAAATTGCCAAGAGAAATAAACATACTTACACATGAACATATGCTTAAAACTTGCTAAATCCTGTAACTTTATCGACTCAAAGTCTTTTCTTTTTGCAAAGATCAATTCGATGTGAGTAGGTGCTCATTGATAATATTAAAAGTTTAAAAATACAATTTTTAAAGTTATGAATGTACCTACTAAGTCAAAGAGTTTTGTCGTTTCTGCTTTCACAAATCCTGAGGCCAGCATTAATTTAGTCAACAAAACCAATAGGTAACGGGAACCTTTTCTACAAGATACAAGAGTGTTTAGATACATCTTTATAAGAAATAGAGATACATTTGTATAGTTTTTAAGTAAAGTAACGGAAAATATTCTTCTTTATTCTAGTGAATTAAGTTATTTTACAAATTTGAAAAAAATTAAGAATATACGTAGATTCTGGGACTGAAGTTAGTAGGTTTCCAGAAAAGGCCTAAAATAAGTAGATCTACGTAAAAAGACGTAGAGTTGGCAACACTGGGGAGAGGCTTAGGTAGCCCGAAGGTCGTGTTATGGGTTCAAGGAAGGCCAGAATGTATCGCAAAATATGTGTTTGAAAGCGAACAGCCTCACAGCAATACTCCAAAATTTTAAATCTTGACTGGGTCAGCTGACGGTCTTTCCACCGCTACACAATCAGCTGATTGTTGTTTTCGTACTTCGTACTCTAAATATTTTGAAGAATCGCGTAGTTAAATTTCATTCGGCGTATTATAACTTTATTTTACGTTTTTTTTTACAAATTCATGCAGCCAGCTGACGCATAATCCCCCCTCCACGATGCAGCTGACGATTTTTTTTTCGCTCAGTATGACATCAACTATTTATGGAAAAAGTTTCAGCCAGCGTACTATTACTTTTTTTATTTTATTTTTTTACCTCTTTCGCAGCCTCCTACACCCGCACCCACCGCTACTTGAGCAGCTGACGGTCGGTTCACTTATCAGTCATATAATATCAACTATCGACGTTAATATCAGCCGGCTTACTATGACTTTTGCATTTGCAACGCTACCTCCCGGACTATAAGCACTGAAAGGCTTGTGTCGATGTTTAATATGTATTTCTATATAAATATACATATACAGTACATATATAAGTATATTTATATAGAAATACATATTAAACATCCATGACTGGAGTACAAATGCTCATATTCATTACACAAACATCTGCCCCCACAGGGATTCGAACCCGGGACCTCTCGAGTCGGCGACACCATGAAGCACGGCCTACAAACCACTTGGCCACGGAGGTCCTTATAACTGAAAACCGACCTAGTACGAGGCTGACTCGCTCACGAAGGGTTGCGTAACATTATGTTTATAACATTAGACACTTTATCTTAATAAAGAGCAAAAACCGGCAAAAAACACATTTGTTGTAAGAGAGCCCCCTTCAATATTTAATTTTCTAATTTTAGTATTTGTAGTTTTAGTTTTAGTTTTGTAATTTTATAGTTGGAGCATACTCACACCAATTAGCCTAGCCCCAAAATAGTGTTTACTTACGTAAGGTTTGTGCTATAGGATGCTAGGGTAACGGATAGGATACATATATTTTGGTACATATTATGTACTGAGTAAAGTACAATTGCATCATACTCCCATCTACCCCCACTGGGCAATGATGATGAATAATGAACATAATGAACAGTGTGCTGATTATATGGTAAGTTCCACTAATTGTAGATACATCTGAAATCAACTATGATAATAAATGTTCGAACACCCATCCTATGACTGTCCAGTGTCTAACTTTCACAATCGCAGTTTTAAAATGGTAACCACTGTGTCATCCTGCTCTTTGTTGTTTAAGGGTTTCAGCTATATTATTATAAAAAAAATCTGATGCAATAGTTTTAAGGTAATAGGGTATTTGACAAGTTTTAGAAAACGATCTCGCGTTTTGACTAATGTTTATGGAGTCCGTAAATATAACGATATTAGGATATTCATCATTCTGTTGTGTATTTCAGTAAAAATAACCAAATCAAAAACTCCATTTACAAGTTGCCGCGAAAACGTTTCTTTGGACAATATGGCGTCTTACTAGTGTGTGACGTCACACGACTGCTATTCAAACGTGAAACGATACAATGTAATGTCAATTTTACCGGAAGTTTACTTGCGTGTGACGTCATTTTAGGCTCCGCAAATCCCAAGCGTTTTGGATCACGTGACAATAGATAAGAAAACTATTATCTTTTTCGTGGGTTTTTAGTAAAATTATGTTATTTTTTGTAAAAATAGTAAAAATCCCTGCCAATATTCATTCTAAACACAAATGCTAACAATTGGCACTTTATTTTTAATACTGTCAAATACCCTTTTTGCTTATATTACGAGTATAGTTTTAATTCTTTAGAAGTCATGGTCAACCTACATAATTAGTCAATTTCCTTGTGAAGTACAGATGCATTTAAATAATGTTACCAATTGGTATTAGAAGTGTCTAGTTGTCAGTAAAATGTATTCCAATTTTGTGATATTAAGTATAACGATAATATTTACTAATTTTTTTGGGTGCACTTTCGCTGGTAAATATTAATATAGTATATATTATTTCATGTTTTTTATATAGAGGTAGACAAATGACTCTACCTCACCTGATGTTAAGTGGTAATAAAGTCCAAACGCGAAGATAGCTGGTACAGCAGTTATAAACTGCTACACCAATCATCCTCACCTTGCCGGCCTGCAAAAATGCCTCTCTTATAGGACTCCAGATTATAGGAAGGTGTGACATTGATAACTACACTCTCAGACTACGGAACAGAAGGCTAATACAAAAAATATTGATTTATATCGTTTACAAAATATTCTATTAACGGCGCACATTTGTATAAAATTTCTTGGAATTAATAACTCTTTAACTTACATTGATCCTAAAAGTATATCATTAATTTTAAGAGAATTGATGATAGCAAAAACTGTTAAGGTTTCATAATTGCACAATTACTGAATTAACTCGAGGCCTTTTTTGAAATAAATAACAAACATTTTTACCATCCGCTGCTTAGGACGCATGGATTTTTTCTGTAATTTTTTCTTACGATTTAAAATAAATAAGTTAGTATAATAAACTATTTTTTTCTTGTAGATATATAAGCGCAATCGTTATTTGATATTCTTCGTTAGTAAATTTTCTCACCTAATTCAAAATTCACGGTGTATATTTCTGAAAGGATTATATCCTGATGCAATGCTCTGACGAGACCACAGCAAAGCCATTGGTATCGTTCGCCCTACTAAGACTGCGTAGATGATTTGCTTTTCTATGTAGATTATGTCAAATGCCTCCACTTATATCCCTACATTAAGCTAAATAATTTACTAACCTCTAAACTATTTTTATAACCTAAAGAAAAGTTTACTAGAAAAGAATCCACGTGGACCAGGCAGCGGACGGGACTCGAACCCGCACCCTTCGCAATCCGGGCGAATGCACTGACCATTATGCTACCACTGCAAGGCAGCGCCATCTCTTCGCATTGTAGGTAACCCACAATGTTAAATTTAGAACAGGTCCCGTCCGCTGCCTGGTCCGCGTGGATGTTTTTCTAGTAAACTTTTCTTTAGATTTAAACATCTAGCAGTTAAATGCTTAAAAATAAATAAAAACATAACTATTTTTATAACCCTCAGATATAGACATTTCCTACGCCATTGATATTGACGGCATTAATGATGGCGTTACTGATTATACATATACGCCATACAACTGTGGCGAAGACATTGTGGCGCAATCGGAAGAAGTTGTCTGTATATCTTTCAGGACCAGGGTGCAGTTTGAATACGCTGAGTAAGTGCTACCATCATTAGCATATTCATGTGCCCATTAATGGGATACAAATCTCTTCTGTCAATAGAATGACGTAGGCAGAAAGGGATGTAATCCACAATAATGCAGATTCATTATCATCATCAGCCTAATAATGTCCCCACTGCTGGGGCACAGGCCTTCCCTATTGATGGAATAGGGAGACTTGGCCGTGACCCATCATGCGGGCCAATTCTGGATTGCTGGGTCACATTAAACTGTGCAAACTATAGAATTTTAATGGATGGTCACCAGTTCTTCATTGATCTTTTTCTAGTTATGACCTCTTCTGGATTCGACCACCTAGTCCTTGTATGGACTATTTCTTGTTTTGTTTAAGTAGCCTAAGAACCAACAATCATGAAATATTATTTTCTAGGTTCGAAATCGTAAGTAAATGACTGTAAAAACAAAGATCATTGAGGGACACTTCTGAGAACTTAAATTATTAGGAAAACTAAATGTTTTTTGAGGTTATGTTTAATATTCAATGAAACATAGGTCAACCTATGAACGTAGTATGAAGTGAATTAATATTACAACTAATTCATTTTATTCGGGGCGATTTGAAAGAATAACTATTATAAAAACCTTGGACATGTAGGAATCATGAATAAAATAAAAACTGTAGTTTTGCTTCTTATTTATTGACTATTTTTCACATAATTGTATCATATTGTATATGGTATTTATTTGTATATCACATGTATATTGTGTAAATATGCAGCGTGAATGTGTATCAGGTGTTCTTGAATAATTTGGCAGTATGATCCTCTTAGGATGTTGTGGCACAGATTCCCTAGCACTTGGTAATAAGGTCTCTGCTCTTTGGTAACATCCATGGCATATTAGATAGCCGAAATAGTTAAATTAAAGAAAAAACAATCGCAAATAAACACACACAACAGGTAATCCGAAACGAGAATGCACTTTCCTGTATAAAATACTACTCTTTGGAATGCACGAATGCCACAGATTAATACGAATGCAAACTGCCTGCTTGCACCACAACGGGCCCCACAAAGCTACAGAGGCGTGCTTGGGCTCAAACGAACCGGGACAAAAAGCCCCACAAAACTGCCCCGAGAAAAATATCGAGCGACACGATTTCACACAAAATTATCGTCCGTAAACCGACTTTACAGAAAACAATTTTTTTTATTACTCCGACTAGGGACGGTGACTCTATTCGCTTATTTTTTTATTGAAACCTTGTTCTCATATGAGTGAAATTTTGTAATTATTGAGAATAATTTTTTAAAACTATTGTCTTCTGTAAGGTGGAAGTTGACGAGCCATTACATGTCTCTTGACACATTGTTTCAGATGTAAGCAGAATATAACATACTCCGTACAGACAAACCTATTTGAACAGCCAGAAATAGTGTTTCACACCGACGATCAGAAAAATATATTTGCGGTAAGTAAGCAAAGCATTTACATCCGAGTAAAGCATCATCGTCATCAGCCCACTGCAGGCTTTCCCTAGGGATGGACCAGGGACATTATGCCATGACTCACCACGTGGATTGGTGGATGCTAACGACTGTAGATACAGCCGGTGCGGCTTAACGTGCCTTTTAAAGCACGGAAGAGCTCGAAATATAAGTTTTTGGTAACCTATCCAATGACCGACCATTGTGAAAGTTGATTAACTTTCAATCGATCAAGTACGCTTCCCTTTACTTAAAGATTATTTTTACAAGTAGCTATCTCATTTTCATTCTGTACAGAGCGTGATACACTGTTGTCAAATTTGAGTAAAGGTTTAGAGAATCTTGACAGGATGATGCCTTGCGCGGACAGTCGGCAACGGTTGCCGCGACCACACCCGCTGAGGACCGCGGTCCTCAGAATGTACGCCGGGTGACCGGTGTAGGAGTATTGTCTGGTTTTTAGTGGCCCTGTTCAGGGCGTTAGGTAGGGCCCTGCTCATTTCACCCGGCCTAAGGGCTGGCTGGCATTTCTCAGACAAAAAAAGGACTGGCAATGTTCATCAACTTTCTTCAATACACCAAGTACAATTTAACAGCCCTGATATTTTTTTCAGTTTGTCGAAGTTACAGAAAAAACAGCGGGCGTGTATTATTGCACATTTACTATTCGGGACGAACGGTTTTGGAATAAACGCCTAAAAGAACAGTGCGTCATAAGCATGACTATGACTATTAAAGATAAGTGTGAGTAATATTTTGTCCATAATTACACTTAAATTGATATCTGTAAAAGTAAAAATTTCCAAAAAAAAACAGAACCTTGATTTAAACACAGCCACAATAATTCCCGATTTAAGAAGCTGTGCATTAAGAAGATTCTCTTATTTTTTATATTATCAGGGAGATACGAGCAGACGGGTCACCTGCAGTGCTTTTCTGTAAAGACACAAATTTTTCGGACGCGTGCTGGACCGATATAGATCCAAATTTTGTCAATCTTTACAGAATAACACTGCACTGATGGTACGTGATACACTGTATCATGTATCATATCTGATGGTACACTGTATCACTGTATCATATCTGATGGTATACTGTACTGATATGGTACGTGATAACCATTGCCCATAGTTTTGGATATTGTAGATACATGGACAAATGTTTGTGTAACGAATACAAGCGGCTGTACCTTAATCATGAATGGCTAAATGTATTTCTAAGTATATATTTATTTAAGTATCATTATAATATGTATACTATCCGTTACTCTATCATCCTATAAAACAATCCTTGCAGTGCCTTCTTTGGGGCTAGGCTATTTGGTGTTTTAAAAAGAAAAAAATATCTTAATACGATTACATCAGTCTTACTCAAAACATTGGTTGGTAGAAGGAGATCTCTATCAGGGATAAGCCCGGCATTACTTAATTGTTTAAATTTTTATGTTATACTTAATTAACTAGTTTATGAGCGCAAAATTATATAAAAAATTAAATTCCCTTTTATCCATTCATTCCCTTACAATGTATAACTGCAAAATAAAAGTTAGCAAATGGCTGTAAGGCACCATGTCTGTAACATCCAAAAAGCAACTTGGTTCCAAAATAGTGCAGTCAATGAAATCTTAATATTTATATAATACTATTGTGGCGGCGACTCTTCATATATACAATGCCCGACCAACATCAATCGGGCCGCGGCCCCCGACCTACCATTATAGCTCGGAGGAAGATCTTCCCCTTTGGTTTTCCTAAACTAGCAGTGTCCCGCGGTGTTACCCGGGTGTCAGCTAACTCCATACCAAATTTTATTAAAATCTCTCCAACGTTTTTCTAGTTAGAAACTCTCGTTTAGACGTGAAGAAGTAACAAACATACACATTCACAAACTTTCGCCTTTATAATATTAGCGTGATTTCCTTTATCTTTTCAGGGCAATGGTTCGCTCCTGTGGTGGGAACTCTTTCCTCCCTACTGCTTATCGTCTTTGTGGTTTTGGGAGGACTTTACTATCACCGCCGCAGCAACACCGTAGCGAAGACCTTGACATCATCCCTCGTACGCCGCAAAGACGCCAAAGAACGACATTCTCACGAAAACCCAGTGTATGCAAATTTAGGTGACATGGAAACAAAAGCCAAATGGAATAATATTAAGTTTTGTGAAATAAACTATGGAAATTTATTAGTTGATTAAAGTCAATTGATATGGGTATACCTACTTTGTTTTATTTAATACGCTCTCGCTTCGCTTCGGTCCGTATAGACTATAGTATTTGTTGTATATATTTTGAGTTACCTGAGAACCTTAACTAACTAATTCAGATGACGGTTTAGGTTGTTTCTGCAAAAAAGACGTAACTTTAACTCACTTAAGACAAAATTAGACTGTTCATCAAATGTGATTCATTTTTGCAATGATTTGTGAATGATGAACAGTGGAATGCATTGTTCGTTTAGACGCATCACTTTTGATGAAGCTAATTTTCCATTCCGTATGGAATTCCCGCGTGAACATCATTCAGTGTAGTTATTTCCTTAAACAATAAAGATATAAACTGTGAAGGAGCTGTCGGTGTTTAGATGTTTCACTTTTTAAGCTGTTGCATAGCTTTTATCGTAGGCTTTACGGGCGTAACGAAAATAAACCTCACACACCCCACTCCGACCGGCACAGCGGTGCGGCGTTGAAAGCCGTGCATCATCTAACGTCATTTCAGTTCGGCAGACTTCGGCACGGTGTTTGTGTGCGTGCGACTAGACGTTTGCGTGTAGACTAGCTGCTAACTGCTCATAACTGATTCTATCTCTTTTAGACACAAGGCTATGTGAGACAGCTTGCTTTTTGGCCGTGTCCACAAGTGAGTTCGAGCCCGCGACTAGTTGAATCTTAACGTACATGTATATGGTATGACTGTACGAAGCTCGCACGGATTGAGACGAGCTGCTCCGAAATCGGACGAATACATAAGCAGCTGTTTGTGAGAAAGCATACAGATAGGTGTATAGGTATCTATCATCTATGTACAACAGTCAATAGCTTTACGCATAAAATTTGTGTATAAAGTGTTTTAAATATTAATAAACAAAGTACTGCATAAATAAAAAAAATAAAAAAATATGATGTGGTGTCGTGGGACACCAGTAGAATCGACACAAATTGCAAACTCGCTTGTGTATGCGACTGTCGCGCCTGCGCACTTCTCATTTAACGGTTTTATTCCACGCACTTTTTTCTACGGATTTTTTCTTACGGTTTTACTATCACATTTTTTTCAGTTCGGTCGCGCACCAAAATCCCTATCCCCTCCAAGCCAAACTCGCTTGTTTAAGCGACTGTCGCGCCTGCGCACGTCTCATTTAACGGTTTTATTCCACGCACTTTTTTCCACGGATTTTTTCTTACGGTTTTACTATCACATGTCTTTCAGTTGGGTCGCGCAGCAAAATCCCTATCCCCTCCAAGCCTGCCGTAGGGAACTTTGTTCCAATAAACTACAATGTCACAATAATCCAGTAATGCAGCCCCGTCGCTCTGCCACCCCCCTGGACTTAACCACAGTTTAGTATAATATACGACAATAATCCAGTGTTGGTATAATGCCACAATAATTTGGGGTTGCACCCCCGTCGCTCTGTCACCCCCTGTTAAGTACTGACCTTGTTATCATGTCTAGCTTAAGTTTACAGCAGATGACAGGCGTTCCTGGTCCACAGCTCGGTATAACGTCACAAATATCCAGATTTCGTGTAATGTCACAATATTCCAGTGCTGCACCCTCGTAGCTGTGCCACCCCCTACATACGCACCTTAATATCATGTCCCGCTAGCGTTCGTAAAGGATGCTAGGCAGGACTGGCCCACAGTTTAGAATAAACTACAATGTCACAATAATCCAGTGATGCACCCCCGTCGCTCTGCCACCTCCTGATAAGTACTCACCTTGTAATCATAATCATGTCTCACAGGCGTTACTGGTCCACAGCTTGATATAACTTCACAAATATCTAGTGTTGGTGTAATATCACAATATTTCAGTGATGCACCCTCGTCGCTCTACCACCCCCTATAACTTCACACATATTCAGTGTTGGTGTAATATAACAATATTTCAGTGATTCACCCTCGTCGCTCTACCACCCCATATAACTTCACACATATTCAGTGTCGGTGTAATATCACAATATTTCAGTGATGCACCCTCGTCGCTCTACCACTCCCTATAACTTCACACATATTCAGTGTTGGTGTAATATCATAATATTTCAGTGATGCACCCTCGTCGCTCTACCACTCCCTATAACTTCACACATATTCAGTGTTGGTGTAATATCACAATATTTCAGTGATGCACCCTCGTCGCTCTACCACCCCCTATAACTTCACACATATTCAGTGTTGGTGTAATATCACAATATTTCAGTGATGCACCCTTGTCGCTCTACCACCCCCTATAACTTCACACATATTCACTGTTGATGTAGTATCACAATATTTCAGTGATGCACCCTTGTCGCTCTACCACCCCCTATAACTTCACACATATTCACTGTTGGTGTAGTATCACAATATTTCAGTGATGCACCCTCGTCGCTCTCTCTCCTGCCGTAAGGAACTTCAACGCGCCTGCGCACGTCTCATTTAACGGTTTTATTCCACGCCTTTTTTCTTACGGTTTTACTATCACATTTTTTTCAGTTCGGTCGCGCAGCAAAATCCCTATCCCCTCCAAGCCTGCCGTAAGGAACTTTCGTTCCAATAATTATAATTGCATAAGTTGATAAAAAATGCTATGCAATAACTTTACCGCGGCGATCCCCGAGTGCCACAAGTATTTCTTTTCTTCGGTTAGGTTAGGTCCGACAATCATAGCCGCTGAATGATGACAGCCAGATGCTTTCATCGCGAAGGCACATTCCGATGACCGTCAATTTAGTCATTTCATTTTCGGTTTTTCATCGAAGCATCGAAAATGAAAGCAAAAATGAACAGTCTAATTTCAGCTTTGTCATAAATTGATTGATTAGAACTACTTTTATGATCACTTTGAGCGGATAATTATTCCATCATAGGTATGGTATTTACAAGTTTTCGCCTGTTTTGTTAACGATATAAATCTATATAAAACATTTTTGTATTAGAGTCTAATACGTTTACTGTTTCAAACAGTTCGCACTTTTTTTACACGATTTTTAAGTTTATAAGTTAACTCTAAATTCACGGCGTACAGCCTATGGTACTAACAAATTAAGCGGCTTTCTATTGGTAAAAGAATTTTCAAAATCGGTTGAGAAGAACTAGAAGATTACCCCCTTTATTTTATTTTTTTATAGATCCAACAAATGACTCCACCCCACTTGATTTTAAGTGACGGTGAAGTCCAGATGCGAAGATAGTTGATAGAGCAGTTCTACCTGCCACACCAGCCATCCTCACCCTGTCGGTTTACATGTTGCTTCTCCTCGCCTCTTTTAAAGGATCCCAGGTTGTAAGAGGGAGAGAACACTTAAGCGGGCAGAGCATGCAATTAACGGATAGTGCGACAAAGAAATGAGTCACCAAACTTCTTTGTACGCGTTGGAATAATGGCCACAGTTAGCTATTAAAGTTAGCTTTATTTAACCCCCTTAAATGATGATTTAAACGTGAAGAGGTAACAGACAGACAAATGAAACGCTTTTGTCTTTATTTATAATATTAGTACGGATGTTGTTCCGTAGTGGAGCACCCAGAGGCTCCCAAAATTATAGGTATGATTGATGTCGTGTATTTCACTGAACCGCTTAAGTTGCATAAGGTTCTCAATCTATCGGTGCCATAATTATGGGCGCTTAACCTAGCAATAAGGTTCGTAAATTCTAGCCAGCACTAATTTAGGTATAATAATCATAATCAAATTCATTTAATCAGTTTAGGCTGTTACAAGCACATATGAATGTCTAGAAGTTACGCCATCGGTTCGCAAATCTACGGCGGGAGACCTTGTACTGAGAAGAACCGGCAAGAAACTCAGCAAGGGCTGTTTTTTTCTCCCTGTTTTATCATTTACAGAGTCGTCAAGTTGAAAAATGACTCCAGATATGATTCATGAAGTCTTACCTTTCATTACATAATGTGAAATTATACATTAATTGTTCACCTGCATTTTGATTGCTGTGTCTCACAGTATAAATACAAATAGAGTTATTTATAGGTATAATAGGTGTAATTAAACATTTACATCTTAAATATCAAAGTAGTTAGGGCAGACTCATCTCCGCTGGCAGCACCCGTTCACGAGCATGACGCATGAACCAGCCATCGCTTCGCTCAACCATATTTTAACTCATGAATGTCTAGAAGTTATGCCATCGGTCCGTAAATCTACTGCGGGAGACCTTGTAGGTACCGAGAAGAATAGGCAAAAAACTCTGCAAGGGCTGTTTTTTTCGTGGACTAAAGCTGCCATCGACTCCTGCCATCCTCGATTATAATAGCGATGCTGATGGGTAAATTAAACGGAAATCAATGTAGGTCGTCAATAAGATCATCAAAAGATAAAAAGACACATACCTATATTTTCTTTTGCCAATCATTTAAAAAATTACAAAGACAAAGCCCATTACAGTTTGGGAGTACGGGCTTGCTTATGACGTTACTTCTAAAAAAAATTAAATTTCATTATTTCCAGTAAAATAATAACAATACGTTAATATTCGTAAAGATTTATTTAAATAAATAATATTTTACTTCATTTTATTTCACATAGAAAGATCACTTTGTATTTAAGTACATGTGTACATAACAAATACTGCTTAAAATAATAACAAATCACATTTCTTTTTCGTTAAAATAAAGAGCTCTGTTATCTTTATCAAACACAATGATTTTCTTATTGTCATTGTACTCGTATATCTCTATGTACAAAATACACTTATAAATATAAATATAGATATTTGTTAAAAGGTAGAATATGATAATTTAGAACTACATAGATTATCTTGTTCAGAATTAAGAAACTGAAAAGTAAACATTCCTACTAAAGTAAGAGATACAAAATTACATCAACCAACCATATACGAGTAATCATTTAAAATTCTCTGAAAACACTAAGGCTCAGAACTCACGGCGCGATTTCTTCAAGCGCCCGCCGCAGCTGCGGAACGTACAATGTGAAATTTTCTCTAAGCCGTAGTGTTTATAACAAAATATCCAAAATCTAAATATACTGACAGATACTAAGTTTAAAAACTATAATAAATAAGTACTTATTAAGGTCTACTACAAAGTTAAGAATTACATAATAGACAAATGTACATGAAATTAAGATTAACTCTGCGCTAGCAATGCACTGGTTGTTATGTTAATTAATATAGGTACCAACTCACATATATTGTTTGCTATTATCATTTTAAAATTACATTTTTGTTTGTATAGATGAAGTCAATAGGTGTCCTTAAAGGCATATTTTGACAAAATAAATTCTGATTATAAATCTCGAGCTCCTCCGTGCTTCGGAAGGCACGTTAAGCCGTTGATCCCGGCTGCATCTGCAATCGTTAGCACCCACCAACCCGCACTGGGCCCGCGTGGTGGGTCATGGCCCAATCTCGCTATTCCATCCATAGGGAAGGCCTGTGTCCCAGCAGTGGGGACATTAATAGGCTGATGATGATGATGATGAAATTCTGATTCTGAAATTGTATGTAAAACGCAAAACCATTTTTCTGCGATTTACGCCTAGGAAAACCGCATCGTAAGTTCTGAGCCTAATTGAAATAGTGTATCCTTATGTTTCGGAAAATATATTTTCCGAACATTTACTTGTGGACGCGCTCAGTAACACCAATTCAATTCAATCGATCATTAGTTTTTCTATTCTAATCGCAAAGAAAGTGACAGTATAAAGGTTTAATTAAACTTAAGTAAATTGATGTGATCTAAATACTACATGGCTTAGTCTTATTTATTCTTACTAGTGATATTTTGTACTGGTCTATATTTTCTCAACTCAGTATTTCTCAATCTTTTAAAAAAATCTGGGGGGCCCAAAGTGTTTTAATAATAATCATATATTTTAAGCGCGTCACTTGTAGAAAATACAGACATGGAAAAAATACAATTCTTTGATAAAACTGAATTTATAATGGTTTTTAGAAAATGTATTTTATACGTTTTGGAAACTTTAAAGAATAATAAGATAATTCAAAGGCATTTTTTGATATGTCAATTGGATGAAAGTATTATTATTATTTGTATTTCATGTGTAGATATGTTTCCCCAGTGATCGTAAAATTAAATGAAATTGTTTCAAATGATATTGAAAATAAACGAATAAGACTTTGTGTGTGTATGTTTGTACCCCATGAGGTACGTACCTCAGGGGGTACACTCACAGTTTGAGAAACACTACTTTCATTTAACAAGTATTAATTCTAACTAATTTTAAATAGATGTGATGTTATCTAATTGTGAAGTGTTAATGACTATCACAATGGCGATATAATTGCTTAGGTATTATAAATAAAAGCTTTTCTCAATTTATTTAAACTTTTCACTGAAAAAGTAATGGAATCAAAGTCCTTTCAAAATATCTCATAAGTACCACTTTTACCACTCATTTTGATCATACGTAACACATTACATCGCCGATTTTAACAAACTGTAAATTTTGAGTTACTTGAGAAACCTATATGAAATAGTGCGCACAATTTATAAATAGTAAACGATAATATATTCAAAATAAAAATAAACAAAATATCCTAAAACGGCGCAAACTTCTTAGTAACATACAGTTTGTAGAATTATAAAAATATATATATTTGATTTAATATTTATATGAGATTTAAAATCGTTAAGGCTTCATAATTAGTGACTTTATTTTGTAACGGAAATATAACCTAAATCGTTGTCTGAATCAGCTAGTAAATTTTCTCATGTAACTCAAAAATTCGCTTCGTATATTTGTACAAATTAAAGAATTAATATATTTAAAATGCGTTATTTTGGTTGAATTTTCAGGCAGTATATTGTTTGTTATTACTCAAAATAGTTGAGTATGATATTTAATGTATGCTCTATACTTCCCCGATTTTTGGCCCAGAGTATATTGAGCGTCGCAAATACGAAATAAATCTAAAACTAAATCACAATTTACGATGATTATGATACAAGAATCGGACATTTTTTTTATCTCAAAAGGGTTGAAAGCTAGCCAGCAACGGCCTGCCTGCCACCACCACATCCTAAAGACGTTTGCGATACCAAAAATATTACTCGCTCCGTTGCCTCTCTTGACCCAATCCTCTATCCCGTGAAGCCCTGGAACCTAACTCACCGATATATAAAGCTTCAAGGAATATTAAGCTTTAGTTACCTTTACTAAAATAAATATCTATCTTTATATATATAATTCTTCTGTGAGTGTGTATGTCACTGAACTTCTCTTAAACGACTGGACCGATTTTGATGAAATTTTTTGTGTGTGTTCAAGGGGATCTGAGAATGGTTTAGATTCACAATTTTGCCCGCTGGACAATGTTTTTTTAATTAAATTTTTTTATGGCGGTACGAAGTTCGCTGGGTCAGCTAGTTTATATATATAAAACTCAAAGATGACTGACTGACATAGTGATCTATCAACGCACAGTCCAAACCAATGGACGGATCGGGCTGAAATTTGGCATGCAGGTAGATGTTATGACGTAGGCATCCGCTAAGAAAGGATTTTGATCAATTCTACCCCCAAGGGGACAAAATAGGGAATGAAAGTTTGTATGAAACTATCAATTTTAAACCGATCTTTGCATGCAGGTATAAGAAGAATCATAGATGAATGTCATTGTGTATAATACAAGCCTGAGAACAAAAACTGTACTCTACACTTCAGCTCTACACTGAAGCGAAGCGACGGCAGGCCGCTAGTTAGTTATAAAACGTTAAAATATTAAGAAATTTGTAAATTTCTCTCACCTTGGGTAGAGCTATAGACAAACAAACTTGCGCAGAACGCGTATCTGTATGTAAAGTTACTATTGCGCAGGCTTGGTTGTCTATGGTTTATGCTGAAGCCCCCATATTAATAAACGAAGAATAAGGTTGGATTAGTTAATCCATTTTTGACAAATGGCATTTGTGTGATATGAACAAAACACGGCGTAAGTAGTCTAAGCTTATTCCACGTTTAATAATTTAAAGGGAAGATGTTTACCGTTGTATAGGTACTTATAATATTGTGATGATAAATTTCCAACACAGAAATTGTTGGTCTACACAAAGAAATCGATTCAATCTTTCGATTCAATCAATCGATTAAATTAAGAAAATCGCATCACTTAATATTAATTCACTCAATTCATTCGTTCATCCGTTCAAAATCCCGTCAGTGCCAATTGAATAGAACATGACAGAATAATAAATATAGTGAAGCTACTATTAAGTTTCCCACCATAATGGGGAAGCCTATTTTCAAATACTGCACGAAGGTGAATCTGTATCCGTGTTGTTCTGCCACTCCTGCGCACACCACGTTAGCGCTGGCGCCAATCAAAGTCCCGTTACCTGAAATAGAAGGCAATAAACTGAAAACTTAGACTTAGAGGAGCTCGATGGCGCAGGTGGTTAGCGCGTTCGGCTGCGATCGTTGTAAATAAGCAACTTTCGCAGTGGTCGGTCATTAGATGGGTGACCAAAAAAAAATTTCTATCTCGAGTTCCTCCGTGCTTCGGAAGGCACGTTAAGCCGTTGGTCCCGGTTGCATCTGCAGTCGTTAGCACCCGCCAATCGACACTGGGCCCGAGTGGTGGGTCATGGCCCAATGTCCCTATTCCATCCATAGGGAAGGACTGTGCCCCAGCAGTGGGGACATTAGGAGGATGATGATGATGAAACTGAAAACTGACCGCCGCAAATCTATATAATAAGAACATGTGGCAAGACATTATTGATGTGTAACATCTTTCCTGCAATTTGTGGGAGTGATTTCGTGAAATGGGACGGAAGTGTGTAACAAGAAGTCGCGAAAGCGCGCGCTATTTGATTTCATTTTAGAACATAATGTTCAAATAGACAGGCGCCGGCGCCCGGCAAGATGTAGCTGAGAGCTAATCCGATTGCATCCGTCTAATCTTTGATTCTTTTGGTGATCTGTGTGTACGTGTTAATAAAAAAAGAGATACCCTTTATCGTACGAGAATTATTTTAAATCTACGCCTCAGCTAGCTTCGTTATAGTTTATGTATCATCATAATCTAGTCACATCCCAGACATGCGCCGAAGCTAAGCTCCCAATGTAACTGAGAGCTAATCCGAGTGCATCTGTCTAATCTTTTATTATTTTTCGTGATCTGTGTGTACATGTTACTAAAAGCAGTGTTGCCCTATAAGGTTCGTGTATTATTTCCAATCTACCGCGATGTGTGATCCAACGAATAGTGAGGAATTTTAATCCGATTGAATCGTTTTAGTCTGTGATTATTTTGGTGATTTGTGTACGTGTAAGTAAAGGCAATTTTGCCCTATGAGAGCGTTATAACATTCGAGTATTATTTGGAATCTACCGCGCTGCATGATCCGTACCCCTAGCACGAACCAATATCGAATTCGTATCGTTTGCGAGTCCTAAATGTCATTGTCAAATGTGTACTGATTTTTAGTTCTCGTTACGTACTTTGTGCCACTGTTGTTCAAGTTTCCATACAAAATTTGACATTGACACTTCGGTTTGCAAACTAATCGAATTCTATAATGGTTCGTGCTACGGGTACAGATACCGACGCAAGTAACGTTTTAGTGAGTGATTTTAATCCGAGTGCATCTGTCTAAACTTTATTTTCGTGATTTGTGTCTACGTGTTAATAAAGGCAGTTTTGTTCTATAATGTTTTCGTATTATTTCGAATCGTTTATTTATGTATAATATAATCAGGCACCTTCCAAACAGGCACCGATACCGAGTGCCGAGGTAATCGGTATCTATAATTTCAATGTAAAATAAAGTCAGTCACCTCCCAGACACGCGCCGAAGCTGAGCGCCCAGGCGAGCGGCGCCAGAGGCAGGCCGAGTCCGGCCGGGTTCGAGAGCGCAGCCATCACCCGAACCATCATCGTTGTCAGAGGGATGTTGTCTACGAATGCGGAGGCTATGCCGGATACCTGCAGGGTTTTTTTTTACTTTAATATTGTTTTCAAATTAGATTGACTAATATTGAAGTTATACTTCTTTAGAAATTTTAAGATGCGCGCGCATCACTGTAACACAAAATTTTAACATAATGAAGTTGGTCGCTTTAGCGACCAACTTCATGCGTTACTTTTGTGTTTACCGCACATTAAGAAAATCTACCAACAAAATAGAAATAGAATCTCTATTTAGTGGGTGCTAACGACTGCATTGTGAAGGCCTATCAAAAGTATTTATTAATCTGGAACAACGGAACCAAAGCGCGATTCAGGAGACTACAGCGCCATCTCTTGACCATTGGTGTAGTAGAACCAAAAACCACATCTTTATTTTTTGTAATAAAGTAACAAAAAGTATTTATTAATCTGGAACAACGGAGCCAAAGCGCGATTCAGGAGACTACAGCGCCATCTCTTGACCATTGGTGAGTAGAACCAAAAACCACATCTTTATTTTTTGTAATAAAGTAACAGTTATAGGTATTCATATTTATAATATTTATCCACATGTTTCTAGTTTGTATATTCGGAATACGTGTTTGAGTTTCATACAAGTCCAAATCACATATGTTGTAATAAATTATATTCAGTAGCGATTTTAATTGAATATTTTGATTATTTATTTATTTTTTCAAATTAAAACTGAACTTTATTGACTTCGTCCTTTTCCAGACTTTTTATTAATTTATTGTAATTAATTATTTGCATGCAATTAAAAACAAATTTTAAACGATGCCAAAGAAGGATAACTTCTCACGCGCCTACATAAGTACACGCACCCATTTTTTTTTTATTATTTTAAAGCATGTGTGCAAGCAAAACTGCTTGATGTTTTTTAAATCTAAATAAAATATAACTAGAAAAAATTCCACGCGATGACATTGTGGGTTACCTATAATGCGAAGAGATGGCGCTGCCTTGCAGCTTAAGAATGGCTAGAAGAATTTCGACGCGGTCCGTGAGGGCCGCGGTAGCATAATTGGTCAGTGCATTCGCCCGGATTGCGAAGGGTGCGGGTTCGAGTCCCGTCTGCTGCCTGGTCCGCGTGGAATTTTTTCTAGTTATATTTTCTTAAGATTGAGTAATTTCATGAATTTAACTGGTGAACTGTTCCACTTAATAGATTATGTTTGTGGTGTGCAGGTAAACCGGACCAGAGCCCGGCAGCTTACCCACCAAGCGTCCTCTGCGTGGCTATGAATATGCCGTAGCAGAAGGCGGGTGGGATAAAAAGAGAACAGACGAAATATCCTGGGGTTCCTCTTCCCCAAAGAGAGGAAGGAAGGGATAAGATAAGAATGAAGTGAGAAAAAGAGAGAAAGGAGAGTAATGAAGAGTGAAAATATACGCTCCTGGTTTATTGCCACCGCTCCCGGTGCATGACACAGCAAACAAAACTTTAAACCAAGTTGACAACCACAGCCGTCGTTAGTGGACGCCCACCTAGTTACCCACCCACCTGCGTATAGTCTGTTCCAAATGAATTTGGACAAAACGTAAACAAAGAAGTAGTGAAGTCTGACCATAGAAAGTTTAGTGATGGGCATGGGCATATGGCTATACCTTTATCTATACCTTTTTTTTAATGACTGTGTAATTCCTGACGCGTCATTCAGCCACTGGGACTCCTCCCTGTTTATTTCACCTAGCTTCGAAGCTCGATGAAATGGACAGGGCCCTACCAGAGCGGTAAAAACCAAACAATACTGATGCACCTTGTCACCCGACTCGCATTGCTAGGACCGCGGTCCCCGCCGACAGTTGGCCGCGCAGGCTTATTTATACATGCAAATTATTTGCAATAAATATTTTTTACAATAGGGTTGATGACTAATTTTTTTTTCTTCGTTTATCAGGTAGATTATCAAAAAGTATTGGAAACGTATTTTTTTCTTTTTTCACTTAATATAAACATTGCAGAGATATACTGATTTGAAAAGTCGCATGACGTCACGTTTGAGTAACCTTTTAAGTGAAAATTCACTAAAAAGTGACGTCACGAGCCCCTACTCCCAAACTTGGACGCACTATAACTTTGTCATTTTTGGTTGATTTCCCAAAGAAAAAATACGTGTCCATTATTTTTTGATGATCTAACTTACGGACTAAATAGAATTTCGTTTACTGTACCCCGTCATCACCCCTATTCTATATACAGGTACGTCTGTCGTCTGAAACCGTATTATTAAAAAACGGAGACTAAAGTTAAACCTTGGTCTAAAGCTGTGCTGTCACTTTTGTTTGCTAAAAAGAAGACAGAGAGAACGTTAGGCTTAAAACAAGACTTACTTTATTCCGCGTTTTAAAATAAGGCGGAAAGGGTTCTAATAAGGTGAGTTTCTTTTTCCGCTCAATAGGCAAGGCGTTTGACCAAAATCTCTCCCAATGGAAAGCGATGATGAGGCCTAGGATGGTACACGCCTGCCTAGAAGATGCCTGTTCACTCTGGCCTTGAAGATGTCCAGATTATATTGGACCGGGAAAACAGACCTCGGTAAGGAGTTCCACTCCCTAGCCATTCGCATAATGAAAGCGGAAGCAAATCGCTTTGTGCGAATGGGAGAAACTTGAACAACATAAGGGTAAAAGCCCTCGCCGCGCCTGGTCGTCCGGTGGTGGAAAGGGGAAGGGGGAATCAAATTATGTAGTCAAAACTAATCCGAAATGTAAACGATAAAACAACGAGAGGCAAGCTACACGTCTTCGGTGGTCAAGGCTCTGGAGATTAGCCTCAACGAGAGCGTCAATGCCTATGAGTCTCTTCGCACGGTGTTCCACCGAGGTCAGTCAACACAGGGCATAAATCCTGGGATGCCGAGGACGCTCCTAGAAGCCTGTGAGAGTCGCACGAGACTACTGCACTTCTGGAAGGGGCTGGGCTGGCTGTGCTAGCTATCCCAATCAACCTTGCACGCACTATGGACCAACTATGGAGTCTACGTGCGGATACGGGGACCCACAACAAGAAACAAGGTGAGGTCAGAAGACTTCTTTGCAATTAGCTATGTTAACTACTAAGGTCCGTCCAAAGCTCAGATAGGTACCGCCACAGTGTCGGCTTCTATTGCTACATGAACAAAGAAATTAGGCGACTCATTTCTTTGACTTACTATACGCAAGTGGAATTCTTTGCCTGCACATGTGTTCCCTCATTCCTACAATCTGGGGTCATTTAAAAGAGGCGTGAAGAAGCATTTCTGCAGGCCGGCAAGGTGAGGATGTTTGGTGTGGCAGTTTATAACTGCTGCTATCTTCGTGTCTGGACTTTACCACTTAACGCCTCTCAGTGACCCTTTAAGAATAATAATAAAAATAAAATAAGAAATGTCGACTCACCCATAAGACTAGCATGATCGCGACGGCCAATTGCGACTCTTCGTTCACTTTTAAAATGACAGCTTCTGTCATTTTACCGATCCACGCGATGAGACCGAGTTTAGAGAGAGCCTGAAAATTAATGTAGAGCATATCATAAACGGCCTTGTTATTAATCATCATCATCAAACTATTAATGTCCCCACTACAGGTACACAGGCCTTTCCCCATGGACGGAATAGGGAGACTGGGCCGTGACCCACCACGCGAGGCCGGTGCGGATTGGTGGTTGCTAACGACTGCATTTCAGTCGTTAAACCACGTCGCGGGTCATGGCCCAATCACCCTATTCCATCCATAGGGAAGGCCTCGGCCCCAGCAATGGGGACATTAGGCTGATGATGATGATGTAACATCTATACACAATATGCTACGAAACAACTGACAGTTGCGATGGTTTTTTTTTATATTTTTTCTTCTAGCCCCCATCCACCAAGTATGTACCGTTCGAAAAAGAATCTGGTATGAAAAATCTCTGTATATCCTTGTTTTTACTTATGTATATAACAAAACAGTGGTCTCACCTCCATCAAAACAAAGAGAGCGGCGAAGAACAAAAGAGTAGACCACTCCACTCTGGCTAGGATGGGCTCCAAGTCCTCTCTCTCCGCCAGGAGTAGGAGAAGGATAGCTCCGAGTAACGCTGTCCATCCCAATGATAGTCGTTCTGAAAATAAAAACATATAATATACTCTAACTTTATTTTATCGATATTTATTTATTATCCTACTTCAATATTATAAATGTGAAAGTTTGTACGTGTTATTACACAATCACGCAAAAACTACTGAACGGGCTTGGATGAAATTTGGTACGCATACAGTTTATGATCTGTATGGAGACATTGGATGAGTAAAAATAAATAAATATTTGCAACACTTACACCAATTAGCCTAGCCCCAAAGCACTGTAGGCTTGTGTTATGGGATACTAGGGTAACGGATAGAATACATATACTGATTCATTTATAAGAATTTTTATACAGAAACACATATTAAACATCCATGACTGGAGTACAAAGCAGACGGGACACGAACCCGCATCCTTTACTATCCGGGCGAATGCACTGACCATTATGCTACCGCGGGCCTGATGGCCGTGTCGAATTCTTTTCTTGCCCTTCCTAAGCTGCAAAGCAGCGTCATCTCCTCGCATTGCAGGTAACCTACAATCCCATCCACAATCCCGTCTGCTGCCTGGTCCGCGTGGATTTTTTTCTAGTAACATTTTCTTTAGATTTAAACATCAAGAAGTTACATTTTTAAAAATTATAAAGTGTCAAGTGTTACTGCAGTATTTATTTATTTATGGATCATCAACACAGCTATATTAATACATAGGATATAATAAAGTATATCAGTAAACTATCTCTCTCTCTTTCAGCATGTCACCCTTTGGGTGTAGGCCTCCTCAAATTACGCCACCTCACGGTTTTGTGCGACCTGAAGCGATTTTTTCCCTGCAGTTCTTTTGAGGTCATCGTCCCAATGCATCTGAGGTCTTGCTGGAGGACGTTTTTGATCCCATGGTCACCACTTTAGGAGCTGCTTACTCCATGAATCTGTCTTGCGTGCCACATGACTCGCCCAATCCCATTTCAGCGAGAAGTAAACTATACGTATTGTTCACCAAATATAGAAATCGATAAAATCGTAACCCTTTCTGTATTAGACTTCGGCATGGTTCCAAAATCTTGATGGCGCAAGTGGTTAGCGGTTTCGGCTGTGACCGTTGAACTTTCGCAGTGGCCGGTCATTGCATGGGTGACCAAGAATATACTATCTCGAGTTCCTCCGTTGGTCCCGGCTGCATCTGCAGTTGTTAACACCCACCAAGCCGCACTGGGCCCGCGTAGGGTCATGGCCCAGTCTCCCTATTCCATACATTGGGAAGGCTTGAGCCCTAGCAAAGGGAATATTAAAAATGCTGATGATAATGATAGTTCTATCAAATACTCACGCAACTCAGGAATAGAATGAAGGAAGAACACGACGACCACGAACATGACGCATATGGCAGACTTCACCAGGAGTTGCTTGTCGCGAATCTGGTACTGGAATGGAGACAAGAAATTGATTTGCTAACTTTAGGAAGCCCTATAGCAAAACTGTTACGAAGCATTTAAAGGAATCTTACTTTAATAAACTATGAAATCATTAAATAAAAATGATTGCTTTGCTCCATGTACACGCCTGGGATTGGCCAAGACTAAAATGACGTCACATGCTAGTATATTTCTGGCCAAAGTGACATTAAATTGTATCGTTTGACTTTTTAACGACAGTCGTGTGACGTCACACACTAGTGAGACGCTATAATCCAGAGGTAATATAGTCCACATGAACGTTTTCGCGACAAATTGAAATATTTTATTTTGAATTTTGTTTATTTTTTGCTGAGTTACACAACAGAATAAAAAATAACAACTTTCTATGGGCTTCATAAACATTGGTAAATAACGTGAGTTCGTTTTCTTAAACTTATCGAGTACCCAATTTAAAAGTTTTAATTTCCTTTAAATTATTTTTCTTGTTAGCGGCACGAAGTTCACTGGGGCTGAGTCTACAATAAACTCTTTAAATCTTACCTTTTCTTTCATCTGAGCTAATGTGGAGCAGAACTTGGGATCGGTCTTGGAAGTGCCACCTCCAGCCTCTCTCTTCACCAACATTGAGTTCAGTCTGTCAACCTGAGGACAATTACTTCAATGATTATTTTCATAACAAAAAGTTTAGTGACCAAACATTAAAATTTATCGATTAATTTTGTCATTAGGTAAAACAAAAATCTGGAAAATTTACAATAACGTTTTCTTAAGGTTAAGTACTAGTGGCGGCGACATCTATATGCACCACATATAACTAACATGGAGGAAATAATCACACGCCTTCTTATGAAATGGCGCTACCTCCGCTGCGATTACAATAGTATGGAAGTCTACATCGCGCAAGTGAAATTCGGAGGCTAACACTCCATATATATAATGCCCGACCAACGCCAGTCGGGCCGCGGCCCCCGAGCTACCATCATCTAGCTCGGAGGAAGATCTTCCCCTTTGGCCTTCCTACATACTTATGTATATTTTCATACTTAAATATTTTTTTTGCTTTATGACGCCGTTCGTGTTTATTGTTTGTCTCAATTTACATGGCTTATGAAGGTAATTCAATAAATAAATAAAATTAAAAGGATTTTTATCCCATTTTATTTATTGAGGTAGATAAAATATAACTTTACGAACCTTCTTTTCTAACGCCCTTCTGACCAGATCTTCGTCTCTGGAATAAGAGGATAAGGAAGCCGCCGCCCTTCTCCAAACCGCTATCTCTTGGCGTAATTCTGAAAGGGATTTTTTATGTCATATTCTTAAATTGAACCGATAGATGGCACGATGGGCGAAAATTGTTTATCATCTGTTTCAACATTTGTAAAAGCCGAAAAACTACATCAACTGTTCATAAAATTACGAATGAGAATCTGATTAATTTGACGTTTAAAGACCAGTTCTTCATTGGTTTTTTCTAATTACTCCTTCTTCTGGATTCGAGACGTGGACACTGACGGTACGGCTGGTCCACAGGTTCAAAGTCACTCAGCGCGCTATGGAAAGACGAGTTCTGGAATGGAGACCGCGTCTAGGCAAACGTAGTATAGCACCAGGCTTGGTCCAAAGGGGGGGGGGGGGGGGGGGGGGGGGGTCACAGGGGACATGATGAAAAAAAAATCTAAGGTCAAATTGAAAAATCTCAAAAATTTGCCAAATAATAAAAGCAAATTTCTAGCTATCTCCTAACAGCGATAAATTTATGTTTGCTGACATCTAGTGGTGTTTTTATGAACTATGTACGATCACCAAAATGACTTGGAAATGACATCTAGTACTAGTTTAGAAACAAGGAACCGAACTACGTAGTTTAAAAAAAAAATCGATATGCGTCGTTATGATAAAGAATGTATAACAATATTCTAATAATGTAATTTGTCGGTTTATTGTTAAGATTCAAGATAAAGGCTGCTTAGTTAAAAACGTGGTTGAGAGCTAACATGTTAGAAGAGCGATTAACAAATTTAACTCTTCCAACATTCACCCGGAAGTAGTACCAGACGTCTTAAATATTATCACCCGATTCGCAAATACAAAAAGACGACTTCCATTTGTTTTATATCCCTTCAGCTGTCGGCCGCCATAATAGCGATGATACGTTATCTGTCACGGCCCCTATCGTAAGACAGGGAGGGAGCAGCATGACGGCACTCGGTGTCTTTAAAATCATATTTCTCGAGATTATTGTATGAAGCATATATAAAATTTGTTTAACTATTTAATCTTAAAGAGATTCAAATTCAATGGGCCCGACACCTCTGGACTGTAAAAACAACGTAGTTTGTCGAGATGCGTAATTATACCGTTTTCTTCGCCAGGTCCTCAATTAAAAATGCTATGGTGGCTATTTACCATCACACATATCTTGACTTGTTTTAATCTAAGATCTTGACATATTTTTTGATATTGAAACGTCATAATTACCCAATATCTCTCTAGGTACGCTGTGACGTAGTTTGTTCATATCCCTGAACATATACCTCAGCTGTACGTAAGTCTGTACACAGACTAATAGTATGCCGATACCCATGTGAAGTGTGAATGTTGTAAAGTTGATATTCTGTGAACAAAGGATCAATCATTAGGTACATATTTATAGTAATATAAGTTATTTACGGGATTGTTACCATGTACCTTGTTTTTAGCGAGTTTCCGATATTTCGGCACTGTTGCAAGCGCCATGATCACGGAGTAAGTACTCACCATATATATCGGAAACTCGCTAAAAACAAGGTACATGGTAACAATCCCGTAAATAACTTATATTACTATAATGTTAGTGACCATGAAAGTTTAAAACAATAGGTACATATTTGTTTGTGTTATCTATTTCTATTCCAAAAACATGCATTAAAAACATTCAACAAAAAAATAAAAACGATTTCAAAATCGAAAATGAATGATTTTTGGCGCCGTCCGACCTTTAAACCATGAACCACTTATAATTTTTATTTTTTAGTTTAATTTTTTTAATTTAGAAGTCGGTTTTAGTTTTTGTTCAACAAGGCACGCTGTGTGTACTGTACCCCAAGACATACATTACAACTGTAACCCTAGCACGAACCATTATCGAAATCGAATAGTTTGCAAACCGAAATGTCAATGTCAAAATTTGTATGGAAACTTGAACAGCAGCGGCACAAAGTACGTAACGAGAACTAAAAATTAGTACAGATTTGACAATGACAAATTTCGAACTCGCAAACGTTACGAATTCGATTTTGGTTCGTGCTAAGGGTACTGTTTATATCGCGCCAGAGCGTCACGTTGCCATCCCGGCTCGCCCGCTGTTTACCTGAACCTTTACTCACCTGTTTCTTAATAGTAGAAAATATTCCAGTTGTTTCGAGGGGAGCTCGATGGCGCAAGTGGTTAGCGTGTTCGGCTGCGATCGTTGAAGTTAAGCAACTTTCGCAGTGGTCGGTCATTGGATGGGTGACCAAAAATTTACTATCTCGAGCTCCTCAGTGCTTCGAAAGGCACGTTAAGCCGTTGGCCCCGTCTGCATCTGCACTCGTTAGCACCCACCAATCCGCACTGGGCCCGCGTGGTGGGTCATGGCCCAGTCTTCCTATTCCATCCATAGGGAAGGCCTATGCCCCAGCAGTGGGGACATTAATAGGCTGATGATGATTCCAGTCGGTTCAAGCATGGAGTTTATCTAGTAAATCTATCTAAATCTGCTTACCTGTTCCAACATAGAAGGATGGCTTGCTATAATAACATTTGGGGGGTCTCCAACCGGAGTAGCCGCTCCCCCTACATTGCTAAATATAACCATCGACATCAGAACTGGCACTGGATTTAAATGCATCACTTCACATAACCTGGTGAAGAAAAGATTTGGTTATAATTGTAAAAAATTTTGAACGGGTATAAAGCATGAATTATTTTCCCTTTTTTCCATTATTCTGGAGTGGAAACTCAATTATTTATATCATTACCTTATAGTCACTGGTGTCATCAGCAGCACTGTGGTCACATTATCGAGAAATGTCGAGAAGAATGCCGTGAAGAAGCAGAGGCAGTTCATCAGAGGCCAAGTGTGTCCACCGGTCATCTGAAATGAAAGAATTGAACATTACTACATCACAAATCTTAAGAAGATTTGACTAAACGAATAGTGTATTTGACAAGTTTTAGAAAACGATCACACGTTATTTACTCTTGTTTATAGAGTCCATCATTCTGTTTATTTCAGTTAAAAACCTGAAAATAAAATTTCACTGGACATTTATGGCATCTCACTAGTATGTGACGTCACACTCGTGTGAAGTGTCATTAAAAAGTCGAATGAAAAAATGTAATGCCATTTTGACTGGAAGTTTACTAGCGTGTGACGTCATTTTAGTCTTCACCAATCCCAGGCGTTTCCGATCACGTGACCATAGAATACAAAGATTATATCTATTTAATGATTTTTTTTGGAAAGTTATTAACTATTTGTTTTCTCAGAATTGTATTATCGCTGCTAATTTTCTTCTTCACCCGCGCCTTTTCCCGTTACACGCGGTTGGCTTTCTTTATCATGCGGTGCCATGTAGTCTGCTGGCTGGTATCCTCCTCTGTAAGTCCGAAGCTTTTCATGTCTCTGTGGACATTCGTCAACCAGGTCGTTTGAGGTATTCTCCTTACTTTTTTTTGAAGCCATAGAAAGGCACTTTCTCACAACATAATTGTTGGATCTTCTCATCACGTTACCGTACCATCTGAGCCTCGATTTACATATTTTGTAACTAATGGGTGCAACCTTAAAGCTTAAAGAATAGTATAATCGCTGCTAATATTCATATTACAGATGCCAACTGTTGGTCCCTTTATTTTTCATACTGTCTAATAACCTATTTCACTCGGTCCAGACATGAAATAGGATCCAAATTTTGCATCTGTACCTCAGTGTTGAGACATTAATAGGCTGCTGATGATGAGGAATATAAAATTATCACATATCCTAAACCTACCTCAAAAGCCACTACAGCCAGGTAGTCGAACAGCCCCGTCTCCGCCAGGATAGCCACCAGTATCATCATGCTGAATAGCAATAGCAACGTTTCCACGTCCAACCAGGATACCAGTTCTGGTAAAGAAGGTCTAGCTCCACTGAGGGCCAGAACTGCTATTGAAAGAGACGACGAGAGGAGGGCTGCTATAGTGCGATTTACTACCTGAAAATCAGAATATTATGTAGTTTAGTGATATTCTTTGAAAAGCGAAAGGAGATGGGACACAACGGATGTAGAAGAGAATTCTTCACCTAACGGAAAACTGACATTTCTCTATCTGCTACTGTGCTGTCTTGTTACACAGCGAATTAGGCTTTGGTATACGAGGCGATTTTAGTTGAATGCGATTTGAATCATCTGGGCAGATTTTCAATCAAATTATAATGAGTGAATCAAATACTATGACTTATCAAAGTACTTACCTCAAAAATGATTAAGAAGTAAAGCGTGCAGAGTAGGACAGTAGAATAAATGATGCCGTCTCTTTCATCTAAAGCGTTCATTTGGTAACTGACAGTAAGAGGAACGGTATTGTTGATAGGAGTATACATTCGAAGAGTAATCTTGGTGTCTGGAATTAAGAAACAATAATTAAATCAACTTCAGGTACCTATTGAATGAAAATCGATGTCAAAAATATTGCGTTCCTGCGCATCCAGTTTGTGATCGTGGGAGTTAAGCTGATTTCCCGATGGCCGTTCATCGGATGGGTGGCCAAATATGTATCATTTGGAGTTCTTTCTTGCCTCGGAAGGCACGTTTAGCCATTGGTCCCTACTGCATCTGTAATTGTTAGCACCCGCCAATCCGCAATGGGTCCGCGTAGTGAGTCACGACTCAATCTCTTATTCTATCCATTCCAAAGGTCGATGCCCCAGCAGTGGGAACATTAATAATTTCTTTGGCTTTAAAGGTGTCGCCTACTGGGAGGCCCTGGCAAGGGCGGATCCAGCTTTGGCGCCAGGGGGGGGGTCATATAGCCAGCTTTGGCGCCAAGGGGGGGGGGGGTCATATAGTCGTGCCATATTAAATATTGAAAGTACTTAAATAAAATCCCCCTGGGTTTGGGCCATCTGTACCCAGCCCAGAGGGGGGGGGTCATGACCCCCATGACCTCCCCCCTGGATCCGCCCTTGGGCCCTGGGTTCCAAACCCGGTGGGGCAAATGATGAATACGAGTACCTGAGTCATTGCTGTTAATATACACACATAAAAAAAAATGGGTGCGTGTACTTATGTAGGCGCGTGAAAAGTTATCCTTCTTTGGCATCGTTTAAAATTAGTTTTTAATTGCATGCAAATAATTAATTACAATAAATTAATAAAAAGTCTGGAAAAGGACACAGTCAATAAAGTTCAGTTTTAATTTGAAAAATGGGTGCATGTACTTATGTAGGCGCGTGAGAAGTTATCCTTCTTTGGCATCGTTTAAAATTAGTTTTTAATTGCATGCAAATAATTAATTACTATAAGTCTGGAAAAGGACACAGTCAATAAAGTTCAGTTTTAATTTGAAAAAATAAATAAATAATCAAAATATTCAATTAAAATCGCTACTGAATATAATTTATTAGAACATATGTGATTTTCACTTGTATGAAACTCAAACACGTATTCCGAATATACAAACTAGAAACATGTGGATAAATATTATAAATATGAATACCTATAGCTGTTACTTTATTACAAAAAATAAAGATGTGGTTTTTGGTTCTACTACACCAATGGTCAAGAGATGGCGCTGTAGTCTCCTGAATCGCGCTTTGGTTCCGTTGTTCCAGATTAATAAGACTTTTGATAGGCCTTCACAATGCAGTCGTTAGCACCCACTAAAAAGAGATTCTATTTCTATTTTGTTGGTAGATTTTCTTAATGTGCTGTAAACACAAAAGTAACGCATGAAGTTGGTGGCATGCGTAACTTCACTTTTTAAAAACACACTTAGGCATTGTTTTATCATATAAACACAAAATATTAGCAATATTTCTTTTTGGCGTTCACATGTACGTCGTTTGCATGTCAAGTTGTGACTAAAGCGATTAGGGTCGTGGATCACAATTCATGCGGATCACTTTTGTGGGGCTAGTGCCGTATCTACCCTATTTGTTTTAATCTAAGGTAACAGGGCGACCAGAGCGACGTGCATCTTTGACATCAAAATTTCCGGATTGTAAACGCTTAAACCAGATTTGTGCTACTCTTACAGACACTGCACTAGGTCCATAAACATCACAATTTTTTTCCTGGCTTGCGTTGCATTTTTAGCAGTTGTTTTGTAGTAATATTTTAAACATGTATCGAATTTCTTCATTAGATTACTCACCTTGACAGTAAGAAAAACAAAAGAAAATCACACATTTTCCTAATTTGAATTTGGAATTATCTTCTTTAAAATTTAAACTTTTTAATGACACCAAAACCAATCAGATACAAATGGTAAAGGCAAAGAGATTTTATTACAAGTTCATAAATACTATAATGCAGAGAAGACTTTTTCCCCAACAGATTATTATAAAAGAAAAAATCGTTCTTAACTGTATAAATGTTGCTTGGAATTTTTTAATGAGTGTATGTGTATATTTCAACAAAAATATACTTATTTAGGTATTATTACATTTATGTATTTTATAACAGAAACCTTACAGTCAACTTACAGTGCTTACTTTGGGGGTATTAAAAAATTGCGCACATACCATTATTATCGATATGATCCCACAGAGTATCGACCCACGTGTCGTTCACATCACTATTGTTTCGATAAACTCGGTTCTTCTCCAACACTAGCGTCTTAGTCTCCGTGGTGCTCGGTGAGAAATCTAAAATTTCTTCTGGTTGCAAAGTCACAAACCAAAGCCGCGAATTCTGTAAATAAAACTATATGTATTAATAACTTATAGAGGAACTCGATGGTGCTCGTGGTGAGCGCGTTCGGTCAGTGATCGTTGAAGTTAAGCAACTTCCGCCATGGTCGTTGCTGGGATGGGTGACCAAAAATTTACTATCTCAAGCTCTTAGCAACTTTCCCAATGGCCGGTCATGAATCGCTACAGTAGGATGGCAGACTAAAAGTTTATTTATCCTATTTATATAGTTTAATATTATTATCCAGGGCTCCTCGTGCTCCCGGGAGACCCCTGCCGCGGAGCCCCGGCAAGGCCGGGAGGCTGCTAGGTGCGGAAACGCGGAAGAATCCCTAAACACCCGTTTCCATCCCGCGGCTTCGCGCTAAGCAGCTTAGAGGGTGTTCGCAGGGTTTTTTAGCTGATATTATGCCGTAAAGCGCCCGTAAGGGTTACGGGGTCCTCAGTGGGCAGCCACTGCTGGGGCTCGTAAGGCTTGCGGGAGCCAGGTGTGAGGTCCGTTCGGCGGTGTGCCTCTTATAGGCGTCGTCGTCTGTAAATAGTATTTTTTGCCTGCGTATAAAAAAAAAGGGCTCCTCGTGCTTCGGAAGGCACGTTATGTCATTTTTAAAATTTTTAATATTTTTGGCTTCGGTATCGATTGTAGATCCATCAACAAATATTCTTTTAAAAACATATTCAATGTACAGTTTTGACTTTCCTACCATTTTATTATGTGTATGGATAATCGACAGGTATAACATCGTATAAAGGTTTTTTAATGGAGAAATAAAAATCAACTTTTAATGTTGTTTTAAAATCTGCACACATAACGCTGATTACAGTTATTCTAGCTAGACAATGATGCAGTCTTAGAGACGATTTTATTCTACGGATGCAGTTTTATGGACCATAAAAGCAGACTGCAACACTTTAATGCATGTTGACAATGCAATAGGAACATAAATATTTATGGCGTAGCACCTACGTATAATAGTAGTGTTTTATCTCATAAAAAGTCTACGTGATGTTTAAAATTGTTAGTTACCTTGAATCAACACTATTTCGTTTCGAACCAAAACACAACACTAATCTATACTAATAGTATTTTCCCCCAGGTTCGGAACCCAGGGTCTATAGGCTATGGTAGCCACTTACCATCAGGCAGGTCTTAAGCTTGTTCGCCACTCTTCAAACATATAAAAAAAATACTTGCCTGATCTATCCCCAACACTTCCGATTCTCTATGCAACCACAATTGCAATACGTTCGAGGTACCGTTGGAAGTAACCTGACGGAATGGACCGGTTATAGTGATAGATACTAGAAGTTTCTCCAGCGTCGCTTGAAGCTCGTATTCTGGAAACAAATGATTTTTTCTTTATAGATGGGTCTAGCAGGTGACTCCACCCAACCTGATGTTAAGTGACGATGGAGTCCAAACGCGAAGATAGCTGGTAAAGCAGTTCTACCTGTAATACCAGCCATCCTTACCCTGCCTCCCTACATGTTGCTTTTTCACGCCTCTTTTAATGGATCCCAGAATGTGAAGGTAGGAAACGCGTGAGCGGACAGAGCATTCAATTTAGAAATGAGTCACCAAACTGCTTTGTTCAGGCCACAATTGAAATTATTCACTTTGCGAGTTGATCTCGGATGCTGGGGCCACTTAATGCCATTAGATAACGCAACGATGGACGTTTAACGTACAGGGTGATCTGAGTGTAGCTCTATGGAATACGCTAGTTCTTGAAAACATAGCTCGAGTTACACACGCTAGCGTTTTCAGGCGTACTAGGCGACGGGGGGAAGTGTGATTCAGCAGTATTCTGCCCCGCAGCCAAGTACCCCGACTGCACTCAGATCGCGCGCGTATTGTACGCAAAGCCGGGTACTCATTAGCGAGCTGTAACCGTAACCGTTTTTCTTTCTTTTTCTTAAGATTTAAACATCAAGCAATTACATGCTTAAAAAATAAAATTATATATATTTTCTCACTGATCAATTATCAATTTTGTTTTCTTTGTTTTTATGTTTATGTAAAAGTACCATGACGTATGTCCAATGAATGTTTAATTAATTTTTGTATTAAATTTAATTTTAATTTCGTTTATTGTATTGTGAATTTTAATCTGACATTTAATTGCGTGACCTCATCTATATGGGTCAGAACTGAAAATCAGCGATTTACTCTCGGAGTAAATGTAACGCTGAGTTTTCGCCCATTCGCATCGCTGCTGCACACGAAAATATCAGTATAGTTGTATAAATATAATTTGTTGTATGTTTTAAAGGATTTATATAATTGTAAACTTTGTCTTCAATTTTGTATGTGTACATGTTGGTGTGAATAAAGTTTTATCTATTTATCTATCTATCTAACCGTTGCATGCACTGTAACCAAAAAGCATAGTGTGTACGTTTTTTACCAAACCGAGCATTTTCCAAGACTGTGTTACAACACTATCAATATGATCTACAAAATTCAATTTTGAATCCAATAACACCCCAAGGTCACGGATATTGGACGATTCTTTTAATCTATGGTCAGAAACACTATAATAAGATGCAAAAGGAGTCTCTTTTCTTGTAAATTTTATATGAGTGCATTTTTGCGGATTAAGTTTCATCTTATTAGCATTACACCACCCAACCACCGCATCGATATCCCTCTGCAACAGGGAAGAGTCTTCCTGATTGTTTACAACTCTGTATAGTTTTAAGCCGTCAGCAAAAATCGAAAATTTGCTATATTTGATGGAAACAGATATATCATTAATAAACGCCAAGAAAAGTATCGGTCCGAGGTGGGAGCCTTGAGGCACACCTGAAATTGAGACATAATCATCTGATTTATATCCATGTACCGTTACGCTTTGGATTCTGTCTTTTAAGTACGAACTTATCCACCGCAAAAGGTCACCATGAATACCGTAAGCTTTCAGTTTTGATAGAAGTATCCCATGGTCTACTTTGTCAAATGCACTGGAAAGATCGGTGTATACAGAATCTACCTGCAAACGACCATCAACTGACTTAATTAGTTCCGTTGTATAATCCATCAAATTACTGACAGTCGATTTACCACTACAAAATCCATGTTGAGAATCTGTTATAAAGTTTTTGAAATAATTTGTTAGAGTGGGATAAATAATACGTTCAAATACTTTCGCAAATTGACTTATGATTGACACGGGTCGGTAATTAGTTACATCCTCTTTATTGCCTTTTTTGAATATTGGTATAACATGAGAACGCTTCCACTCAGAGGGGAATATACCTGATGTGACAGATTTTTCAAAAATAAGTTTAAGAGGAAGTGCCAAAAACTTTGAAGTTCTCTTGATAAATAGGGGGGGAATCCCATCTGGCCCGGCTCCCTTACTAGCATCAATAGATTTAAGAACATTGTAAACCTGCTGTTCGGTTACTTCTACACTATTAAGAATGTTTTGAGGATATTGATCACCAAGATCAACAAACTCAGAATTATCTGGCAAGGAAAACACTGATGAGAAGTGTGCCGCAAAAAGATTACATATTCCCACACCATTGTCTGCAATTTTATCTCCTAAGTGCATCTGTTCAGGAACACCATCATAATTACCCTTAGTATGACGTACAAAAGACCAGAATTTCTTGGGGGTGTGCTTTATTGACATTTCTATATCCTTGACGTACTCTTTATAGCATGTCGACATAATAGACCTTACGCGGTGACTGCAAAGTCGCAGCTCCAAACGATCCCTAGGGTTTTTATAAGTTTTATACTTTATACGTATTTTATGTTTCTCTCTTATCATTCTTATTAAACTACGAGTAAACCAGACCGGGTACTTAAGATTCCGTGCATGTGTCTTGGGTATACTTTCTTCGATGGTTTGTTGAATGATGGCATAAAACCTAGTTACTGCAGCGTCTACATCCTGCACTTGACCCAATTCCGCTAGCCAGTGAATTTTACTTAGCTTTAAATTAACATCATTATAATCAGCTTTTTTGAAATTGTATGTGGCAAACATTTTACTTTTTAAGAAATGGTGAGACTGTAAAGGTACATTGATACTTATTTCTAAGGCTGGATGATGTCTATCAAGCCTACTGAGTGGACATTGACATTCTGTAACACTCAAATCATTAAAATTACCCAAAACCAAATCGAGAGTCTTGTTATTATAGTTTTTCACATTGTTAAACTGAAATAAATTGTTTAGAGACAAAAAATCATTTAATTGATATCCTAAGTTACAAGAATAATTAGAAGGAACCAAGACACTATTACTTGTATTATCATTACCCCAATTTATAAAACTTAAATTAAAATCGCCTAAGATAACAGTATAACCAGGACATGATTGCATTACAACGCTACAATTGTCGAGGAAGACATCCAATACATTAGCCGTTACGGGAGGCGGTAACTAGACTGCACAAAATATATAATTTCTTCTTCTTCTTTTTTCTAAAGTACTCTCAAAGTGATCTATTCGTTTAGAACTATGGGATTTCGAAACGGCTATAAGGACACCTCCACCACGTTTACCAGCTAAGCATGTTGAATTACGGTCACGTCTATAAACATGATAGTTCGCTCCAAATAATTCATTATCGTGTATCGTATCATCCAACCATGTCTCGGTTCCAACAATAATGTCATAGTTATCAAGAAAAGAAGACAATTTGATATCATTGGTCTTAGTCTTCATACCTCTAAAATTTTGATAGTAAAGATTGAATTTTTTAACTTAATTACGGTCAGAAAGCAATAGGGCACAAACAGAAAAAAAAAAATTATAAACCAGCTAAAGAGTCGTAGTTCTTGATAAGTTTAGCAGGAGCCTTATCATCCTTCCGTACGAATATTCTTCCGTTGCGTATCCAAACAAATTTGTAATTCTTTTCATGTGCTATTTTTCTTGTAGTTGCATGCAACGCCTTATTATATGGGGAAAGATGTTCAGATACGTAGACTGGTGACCTTTTACCACCATATCCCAATGATGAAGTGTTAAGTTTGTCATCTTGATTATCTTTATTAAATTTTGATACAGCAGCCAATATTTCATCTCGCTTCCTGGTGGTTTGTAGTTTTACTACAATTGATCGGGGCCTATCATTATCTTCTTTCATCTTTCTGACTCTGGTAGTGGTGAGAACATCTGTTTCTGGCAATGGAACAGAAACTACAGAGCACAATTGACTGACAATCGTCAGCAAATTTTCAGTTTTGTTTTCAGGAACGCCATTGATCTCGATATTCGTTTCACGAGAATACTGTTCAATGAGATTCAGTCTACTTGTAAGATCATCCACTGTTCTCGTCAGAGATGCATTTTCTTTATTTATCAAATTCACCTTCTCTTCAGAGGCCTTCAAATCAGACTTTACGCGGTCATATTCGGCACTAAGGAACTCCACACTGCTTTGCAAATCCCGCAAAGCGGCTAACTCCTTCTTGATTTCATTGAATTCCTTTGTAAAGTACCCCCTTACCATAGTCTCCACAGACTCTGCAACAGAACGCTTTATTTCTCGACGTATTGTCTCCAACAAAGTATCGTCAACTGGTAATGGTGATGTTACAGAGGGCGGTGACATGTTGGCTGGTTTGTTGATTGGCAATTTTCTAATAGTTATGTTGCCTTCGTCAGAAGACTTATCAGACGAGCCAGGATTTGCTTGCAAACGATAGCCCTGAACAGGAGTGTTGGTATTGTCGACCTTTTTTTCCTTGCTCCTACAAGCCGGACACTGCCAATTATTTTTTTTGTCTTTACTCATAAGGGTGAAAAATTTGTAGGAATAATTGACGCATTCAATATCGTATACTCCATCACAAATACTACACGTTAAAAATTCCCGGTTAGTTATTTTTTTCGTACAACCTGCGCAAATCATATTTTTAGTAGGCGGCATGCTAGCGATACAGTGCGAAGCGTAAAAGCCCTCCAAAAGCAAAGCAAACAAGCACGATCAAGATCGGTAGAAATTTTAAAAAATAGTTGCTCTAAGTGTGCGACGATTCTCCCAAAAACGGCTAAAATGTTTGTATGTGGCAACACAAAGCAGATGTCACTTTTGAATTTGAGACTGTCAATTGAATTTGGCAATTGAAATGTTAGTAATATGAAGGTACTTGCAGCTACGATGTGACGCTTCTCAATAATGCAGATTTGAGGGTATAAAATTCTCACTTATCTTTTTATGATTGTCCCATTTGTAGCTGGACAATATTGTGAATAACAATTATGTAGGGCACTTCGGGATCACACTTCACCGCTAAGTAATTTTTTCAGTTAAATTCTGGTTATTTTGTAAATGGGGAAATTGTATTGTGAATTTTAATCTGACATTTAATT